CACTCCCATTTTACAGATGGGGGATAGAAACTCAAGTCACACAGCCAACTGGTAATTCTGGCCCTGCCTTGATTCTTGGTATGAATGCTGCCTCACTTCCCGCCCCCCAACCCGAGGATGCTCGTGAAAGTGGGGCACTGTGTCCCCTCTGAACAGGCATCAGCAAACATTGTAGCATTCCATGCGGTTGCCTTTCTGAATGTGGCAGGAGGCCTTGGATATCCAGAAGCCTCTTATCTGGCAATCAACTACCCAGAGTGACCTCGACCTCCAGGAGAGGTCATGGAGGCCACACTATAAAACACATGTGCCTTCTCTAGAGAAGCCTCTCGGGTCCCCGCTTATGGCCCACTGCCTCTGTCTGCACACAGTTGCATGAATCTGGTTTGCAGCGCATGGTCAGGCCGCCTGACAGCTGGGAAAAGAGATGGCCCACAGCCTGAGCCCGAAGCTAGCAAAAACCTGAAGAAGGGAGGGAATTGGAGCCACTCAGTGTTGAGATGAGCAGCCCCACACACCTCAGTCCCAGGGGTGCCCCTGCAGCCCGGTTCGGCACCGTGCAGTTCGCTGGAGCAAACTCTGGATGTCGGGATGAGGAAGGGGAGGAGGCAGCGCCCAAGACAGCCTTGGAGGAGACCACAGAGGCACCCCAGAAATGGGTCTTCTTCAGCAGCCAGCATCCCGCATCCTTTGCTTTCAAATCCAGCATTTGGGGATCCCATCGTTCCTCAGTCTAGGTTTCAGAATCTTTTGTTTTAACTCAGGGCTCAAAACACCACCCTTGACCCCCTGCTGTTCCACACTCCTGTCTTTGGCGTCCTGCTGCTCTGAATTTGGTGAGCTTGGGCCTCTGCTTTCTTGTTCTTTCCTTTGGTCATCTTCGCCCTCCCCCATCCCCAGACTCGTAAACCTGGAGCCTGCAAGCTTACCTTTGGTCACCCCAGGACAGCCCAGGAGAGAGGGATTTTCCAGTGGCAGAATCGGATTTGCACAGGATAAGGCAGATTTTCATTCCGGAATTGTCCCCATGAAGTACCAGAGACATTCACTGTCACACAGCTGATTTGATCCCGTCTTTTTAACTTTATTAGCTCAGAAACATCTTGTTGAATCTAAATGAAGTGCGAATTAGGGAACCGTAATGGGAGGCATTATACTTAATGGGGTGTTGCCTGAATCTCAGAGGCAGATGTGAACAAGGAGCCTGGGGGTGGGGGGCTGAGCAAAGCTGCTGGGGGCCCAGCTCAGGGGCCCTGGAAGTGATTCTGGGCTTAACTGCTGTTTGATTGGTTATTTGCCACCTTCTGGCAAGCAAAGGGAGCCTAGCCCTGGTCTGGAGAAGCACAGTGGTGGGGGAGCTGGGATGGTTTCTCAATGGGGGAAGGTTCTTAGGCTTTCTTAGCCCCAGGTTGAGCTACAACTCTGACCCCAGGCTGAACTGGATACTGACCCAGCCCGAGCCCCGCCCCCAACCCGGCCCAAGCCCCTCCCTCCTCTGACCCAGGCTGAGCCTCGCCCCTGACTCTAGAGCCGTGATTGTCAATTGTGGGGGGCGGTATTGCTCCTGTAGGGGACATTTGGCAAGGTCTGGAGTCATTTTGGGTTGTGATGACTGGGTTGGGGTGCTACTGGCATCTAGCGGTTAGAGGCCAGGGATGCTGCCAAACATTCTACAGTGCAGAAGAGAGCTGCCCTCCACGTGGAATTATCCAGCAAAGAATGTCAATAGGCCAAGGTTGAGAAACTGCTGTAGATTGAACCCTGACCTCAAGCTGAGCCCTGACCTTGGCCAGGCGGAGTCCTGGTCTTGACCCAGGCTGACCCCACCCCTGGCTGAACCCCAATCTGATCCTCGCCCTCACAGAAAGGGCCCTGGCTGGCTTCTGCCCCCTGCGGTGGCCGACTCCTCTCCAGCCTGCTTTCTCACACCTCCTCTAAGGAGTGAGGAGGGCCGATGGGTCCCATGTGTTAGGTCTGGCCAGGCGCTTGGGGAGAGGAGCGGCCTTCCCACAGCTGGTGAGTGGCCGAGCTGGGGTGTGCACTGAGGCCTGCTGAGCTCTGAGCCCACGCTCTTAGCGCTAGGCGAAGCTGGATCCGCGGGGTGGCGCAGCATGAGGCTGTTCTGCAGGGGCAGGCGGGGTGCAGGCTCGGGAGAGGCCTGAGGAAGCAGCAGAGGCCCACGGGGACACCTGGTGCCTGCGAGGGGTGGCCCCTGAGGCAGCACGAGAGAGCCTACCAGCTTGATCGGTTGTCCTTGCCCATCTCATTCCAGTGCTGAGAAAGGCCTTGGAAAAGGAATGTGAAAAAAATGACTTGGTCAAGGGAGCCTGGGGCACGGAGTCGGGTGGGCAGAGGGGCCTGCAGTCTGGTCCCAGCTCTTTGCAGAGGCTGCCTTGGCCAAGGGACTTTGCCACTCTGAGTCTCAGTTTTCTCATCTGTTAAGTAGGTGTGATGGTAGCACTTACCTCCTCCCAGGGTCACAGCAAGAAGCAAATGAGGTAGAGAGAGATAGTGTGGGTGGTTGGTGCGGGACGTGCGAGTCCTCTCCCCCTTTGCTGCTAGGACGTGGAGGAGAATCCAGAACATGCACAGTGCCCGAGACGAGGGGATGCTGCAGGGAGGCAGGAGTTCTCGCATGATCACAGAGTGGTACCCCGAACCTTCCAGCTGCAGAGTCCTTGGAGATGTGCAGATGAACTCATAGGAAAAGAAGGGGGTGGGCTGGAAGGGAGATGAGGTGTCTGTCCACTTTGTGCTGGAGATCTGGCCTGTACAATAAGGCAAATGAAAAAGTATGACATTTAGAAAGTAGGAAATAAAATAGTCGTTATTCACAGATGACAGAAAACCCAAAAGAATCTACAGATAAACTATTAGAATTAAAATGTGGATTTGAAAGGTCAGAATATGAAACTGTCCTACTATATACTGGCAACAGACAATTAGAAAATTAAATTTGAAAAACAATCCAATTTACAATAGCATTAAAACACTTCACATATCTAGGAATACATTTAATGAAAGAGATCCAAGACCTTTGCCCATGAAAGTACGCAATATTCTTGGCAGAAATTAAAGAAGACAAAAATAAGTGGAGGAATAGACTATGTTCACCAATTGGAAGGCTCAATATTGTAAAGTTATCAACTATCCACAAATTATCTATAAATTCAATGCATTTCCAATCAAAAAATGAAAACTGAAAACCAGCAAAATGGATATGATTGGATGCTGAGGCTTCCTTATTGGTGTGGCCACAGGGATGGGGCTGTTTGCTCATCTGGTAACCAAGGGCGTGAGTTTTAATAGCTTAGGGGCACAGCAGAGATGTCCTGTACTTCCCTGGTGGGAACTGACACCCCAGCATAAAGCTAAGACCTTTAGAAAGATATTCCCTCGGTGAAAGGGGGCACTTGGAAAATGTCCACCCATCTACCAAGAAGATAAAAGCTTGTCTGTCTTGGCTAGGCCTTAGGTGGTCTCCTTTGAGAATACGTGATTCGAGGTGTATCCCCTGTTTCTGTTGAAGGTTATAATTCACACTACCCCCATGGTTCTGGAACCCTTGAGCCAAGAACTTAACATTGGTACCAGGGTAATGATGCCTTGGCAGGCATCCAGGGGAAGGAATTGCAGATTCTCTCTGGACCCTTGGAGGGACCTGCCCTCAACCAGGCTGAATAAGATTCCCACAGAGAAAGCTCCTCCAAAGATGAGCTCACAGTCCAACGATGAGCAAACACACGAAGAAGCAGTCCACCGTGAGGGTATCATCAGACAGCAGACACACCTCTCAGGAGTTTGGCATAACTGAAAAGTGGAATAATAGATGAATGTTGAAACGATTTTAAATTACTAGAGTCATATAAGGAGTAATAGAAATGGAGAGAACAAAACATGAAAGCAGAACAGGGAGCTAAGCAGAAGGACCAAACAGAGCTTTCAAAACTCAAAAATGTACTTGTGGAGATTAAGAGCTCATTGGAATTGGGAAAATTGGAGTATGGAGTGGGTATTAAATTAATAATTAAGGAATTATTTTAATTTTGTAAGGTGTGATAATGGTATTTTTGCTGTGTAAGAAATATGTTCCTGTTTTTTTAGAAATGCATACCGAAATATTTAGAAGTATAATTTCATTATGTCCATGGTTGGTTTTCAAATATTTTAGCATAGATAAAAATAAATGGAGTAAATACGACAAAGTGTTAATATTCGTTAAAACTAAGCGTTGAGTAAATATTCATCAGACCAGTGGTTCTCAAAACTCAGTGTGATCACCTAGTGTGCTTTTCAAAACCTAAATTCTTGCATCTGACTGAAGACTTTATCCAGAAAATATAAAAATTCCATAACAAGAGGGGCTGGCCCCGTGGCCGAGTGGTTGAGTTCGCGCGCTCCGCTGCAGGCGGCCCAGTGTTTCGTTGGTTCGAATCCTGGGCGCGGACATGGCACTGCTCATCAGACCACGCTGAGGCAGCGTCCCACATGCCACAACTAGAAGGACCCACAACGAAGAATACACGGCTATGTACCGGGGGGGCTTTGGGGAGAAAAAGGAAAAAATTAAAAAAAATCTTAAAAAAAAAAAAAAATTCCATAACAAGAAAATAAAAAATCCAGTTGAAAAACGGGGTTACCAGAGGGGAAAGGGGGAGGGAGGAGGGCGAAAGGGGTGATTAGGCACGTGTGTGTGGTGACGGATGGTAATTAGTCTTTGGGTGGTGAACATGATGTAATCTGCACAGAATTTGAAATCTATTACGATGTACACCTGAAATTTACATAATGTTATAAACCAATGTGACTGCAATAAAAAATTTAAAAAATAATAGCAAATAAATAAACAAATGAATCAAAAAAAATTTAAAAAGAAATAAATAAAAATGGCCAGAAGCTTTGGACAGACACTTCACCAAAGAACATATATAGATAGCAAATAAGGAAAAATGTTCAACATCATTAGTCATCAGGCAAATGCAAATTAATACCACAAAAATATACCTGTACACATCCATTAGAATGACTAAAATTAAGAAACAAATCCAAACTGACATTGCCACGTGCTGGGGAGAATGTGAAGCCGCTGGAGACTCTTATGTTGTTGGCGGGCGTGCAAGACAGTGCAGCCGTTTTGAAAACAGTTTGGCAATTTCTTACAAGGTTAACCTCATCCTTACCATATGGCGCAGCAGCCCATTCCTGGTATTACCCAAGTGGAATGAAACTTATGTTCAAACGAAAACCTGTGGCAGTCATTTATTATAGCCTCATTTAAGGTCACCCCAAACTGGAAACAACAGAAATGTCTTTCAACAGGTAAATGCACGGCTAAACAAACTGGTCCATCCATACGTGGAACACCACTGGGCGATGAAAAGCAACAAGCCACTGATGCGCATGACAATGTGGAAGAGTCTCAAAAGATTACACTAAATGAAACAAACTAGACTGGAAAGCCTCCATGTGTCTGATTGCACTTATCTGATATCTAGAGCAGGCAACATTTTATATGGTGAAAACAGATGCATGCTTGCCGGGGGCTGAGGGCAGGGGGGACTGCTACACTGGGAGCAAGGGAGGATTTGGGGGCCGATGGAAATGTTCTAACACTCCATCATGGGGTGGTTAGGACACATTTCCCAGAACCCATAGAAATGCACACCACAAAGGATTAATTTTAATGTATGTAGATTTTTAAAAGTAGAGAAAAATATTAGGTTAATATACTAAAACAGACATACGCATACTGATTGCTGGGCCCCACCCCCCAAAGTTTCTAATTTACTAGGTCCTGGGGGCGGCCGGAGGATTTACATTCCTGACGGGTTCCCAGCTGGTGCTTGTACGGCTGGTCTGGGTACCACACTTTGGGAGCCTCTGTGTTATGCTACTCTACTTTCCTTATGTTTGAAATGGATGAAAAATTTCATAATAAGTTAAAAAAACAAAGTGATAGATTTCATTGCAGATTCATCCCAGAGAGATGAAGAGATAGGAAATATGTCAGAGAGGTCATATTTGATGGGTCATGGGGGGTCAAGGGGAAAGTCCCAAAGTGCACCTATTAGGCATTTCAAAAGAGAGATGAAGGAAACAATACTTGAAGAAATGAGAGCACTTTTTAGAATTAAAGCTAAAGGAGACAGACTTATCTTGAGCTGCCGAGAATGTCAGAGAATATGGCTTATAAACTATAAAGCTTGGTCCTCATGAAGAAGCATTAATCAGGCCCACTCAAGGTTGAGCAGCTCATGGTCAGCACTATCTCATGCATGCTGTGGTGCCTGCGTGTGAGAAAGCTCCCCATCCCAGCAAGTATGCAAGCACAGTCCCAGGTGGTGGCGTCAGCAGACCCGAGTTCTGATCCAAATCACACAGCAACCCAGCTGTGTGACCATGAGCATGAGATGTCCCTCTCTGAACCTCAGCTTCCTTATCTGTACAGTGGAATAATGTTACCTGTAATAATAATACCACCTGTGGCGTTGTGGAAATGGTTAGCCACAGAATGTCTGTAAAGCTCCCAGTGTGTGGCGGGTGCTCGAAAGAATGGTATGTCCCCTCCAAGAGCCTCCCTTGGGAGGGGAAGCCCCAGGATCCCCTGGCAGACACTCAGGTGGAGCTGGTGGCAGGAAGAAACCCTCTGCCGGCCTCATCCGTGAACCTGCAGATTCCCAAAGCAGAAGGGATTCAGCTGAATGGAAATGAAGGTGGGACAGAGGCCCTGTTCTCTTTCTCGCCTGCAGACGATGGGCCTTACTCCAAAGGAGGCAAGGACACAGGGGGCGCTGACGTGGCCGTGGCATGCCGCAGACAGAGCATTCCAGGTAAGGAGCCCCCTGTCCTTCTTTCTCTGTTTGGAGGCACAGAGAGCTCGGGGGTGGGGGGGACAGACAGCACTGGCTCTTCTGCTGACTCGCTCCGGACCTCAGACCGTCAGTTAAACCTCTCTGATCCTCCTCTGTAAAAAGGAGATGGTCTCACCCAGTGTAATGCAGCCAGGTGCCCTGCTTACCAAGTGTTAGCCTCACCTGTCCTGGCTCTGGGGCCCGGGATTGCCCCATGCTGCCACTCACCCCGCCTCTGTCGGCAGAGGAGTTCCGAGGGGTCACCGTGGTGGAGCTGATCAAGAAAGAAGGCAGCACGCTGGGCCTGACCATCTCAGGGGGCACCGACAAGGATGGGAAGCCCAGGGTCTCCAACCTGAGACCTGGGGGGCTCGCAGCCAGGTGAGAAGTGGGCTTGGTGGGGGCAGGAGGGGGTCTGGGCCTGTGGAAAATGTACTGGGCATAGGCAGTTGTTTCCAGGGGCCTCTGAGAGCTTGGTGTCTGCAGAGGGCAGGCCCCCGGGGGGGAGGTTATAATCCTAGGCCCAGCTGCTTCTCCTTCCCTTCACACCAGGGGCTGGCGTGGCCACAGCGCCCCACTTGCCAGGCCCTCCGGGCCTTTGCATATGCGGTTCCCTCTCCCAGAAGCCCCATTCCCTCTGGCAGACTCCTGTCCATCCCTCACACTGCCTCTGGGAGGCCCTCTGAGCCCCGGTGAGGCAGCCCGCTGCCCACACAGCCCTAGGCACCACTTGCCCTGGATTTCCCTCTCGTTTACCCCGGCGGTTCCGTGGCTGTGAGGTCCATGAAACCTGGGAGGTAGCCGGTCCATCACCGCCTCTCTGGGCCTCACTCAGGGCAGGCACTGGTAAGTGTCCACTCGAACAGGACGGAAGTGAGCAGTGAAAAGTCAGGAAGAGTGTCAGGGAACAGCAAAAGAGAGGGTGACCTGGCCCCTCTCTGGCTCATCTCGGGTGGTCAGCACTATAACACGGTGAGGGCGAGCCCCCAGCAGGAGGAGAAGCAGGTGGACTGGCCTGGGGGGAGATGCTGGGCCTGAGTGTCAGGCAGATCTGGGTTAGAATCCCCGTTCTACTCGCTCGTCTTGTGACCCTGGTCAGTGTCTGACCCCTCTCAGCCTCAGCTTCCCCATCTGTAAAACGGAGATTCAGAGACCATGAGGATCCAGCGGGAGGGTGGGTGTGAATGCTGGCCCCTGTTACCGTGCTCTGGCCTCCCTGCTCCCAGGAGTGACCTGCTGAACGTGGGTGACTACATTCGGTCAGTGAATGGAATCCATCTGACCAGGCTCCGCCATGATGAGATCATCACCCTGCTCAAGAATGTGGGCGAGCGCGTGGTGCTGGAGGTGGAGTATGAGCTGCCCCCGCCCGGTGGGTGCCCTTGGACGGGGAACTTTCTCCACTGCCTTGGTCATAGGTGGACACAGCTGCGTCCCCACCAGCGCCAGGGTGGTGGGGATCATGCCAGCTGGGGTGGGTGGGACCTGGAGACTGGCCACAAACATCCTTGCTGTACCTAGGGGCTTTGCCTACAACGGCAATACGCTGTCACCAGGAGGTGGCAGGGTCCTGTTTATAACCCATTGCCATTTTGCTTATTTAGTTTCCAGATGGTTTTCCTGTAGACAGGAAATTTTGGGAATGTGGGCCGAATAAATTGTTCCCTGCCCCACCACTCTGCCCACCCTACTACCCTGCACTGAGTACAGTGGCCTGGGGTCTAGCTTAGCTCTGAATTTTCAGAGCTGGTCTAAAGTCTTAGAATTTGAATAACTGGAATTCAACCCTAGCTGGAGCCCACCAGCTGTGGACTGAAGCCTGCGTTCTCTCTGTGTGAGCGTGAACAGGCCCTCTCCCCTTTCTGAGTGTGGACCAAGTGGGTATTAGGGAAGAGGGTCCCTCTGAGCCTCACTTGTCCTACCTGTGAAAGGGGGACAGTTTACCCTCCCTGTGATCTCCGCGATTGGTCACCCAGCTCTCCTGGAATGAGCTTCGGGGACGTCTGCCAGCTTGGGGATGGGACTGAGGGACTCAAGGGCGTCCTCCATTTCTCCCCAGCCCCTGAGAACAACCCAGGCATCGTTTCAAAGACAGTGGACGTCTCCCTCTACAAGGAGGGCAACAGCTTTGGCTTTGTCCTCAGAGGTCAGTGCAAGAGTCGCCCTCGGGGTCGGGGGGCGAAAGGAAGCTACCGCTGTTTCCGCGTGTGCTGCTTTGCTTTGATGAATATAGCTATAGATGCATGACATAGACCAATCAATAGATGATGGATAGGATCGTGCTTCTGACCCTAGAGAGCCTAGGGCCGTAAGTCAAGTGTTTGGTGGAAAGATGTGCCATGCCATGAAGTGTGCATGGCTGGGCGTGAGCGGGAAGAGTGGACCAGAAGATGATGGCGGGAGTCCCCACCGAGGCTGAGAATGAAGTTGGGGCCTGCCCACCAGGGCAGAAAGGGAACTAGGATGAGCCACGGAAGAGAAGCGAGCCCTTAGCAGAGAGGCCTTTGGTCACGTCCCCTGCATTTAGTCCCAGCTCTGGGGAGTTTACAGTCGGTGCCCTATGTGAGCGAGGGCCGGGGAACAGCAAGGACGAGGTCCTCAAACAGAGTTAACTCAGGGAGCCTGGGCGTCAGGGCGGGAGTGCCAGATGGTTCCTGCTTCTCGCTGAACTCCGTCCAGGTGGTGCCCACGAAGACGGGCACAAGTCCCGCCCGCTCGTCCTGACCTATGTGCGGCCCGGCGGCCCTGCCGACAGGTGAGCCTGCTGGAGGAAAGCTCACAACCTTGCCTGCACTCGCCTCCCAGGGCCCTGTGAAGAAGGCAGAGCGGGCCCATTGTGCCCACTCCCCAGATGGGCAAACTGGGTGGGTGAGGGGACAGCCCTTGCCCAGAGTGGCGCAGGGAATTATTGGTGGAGCCAAGACTAAACCCCAAATGAGAGAGACCCTAAGCTCCTTCTTCCCCAGCCTCCTACGTCTCAGGGGCAGGGAGGGAGGGAGCCTCCGTGTCGGGTCCATGTTCCTCTCCTGGCCTTGGTTTTCCTCTCTGTGCAATGGGTCCCAGATGGCAGTCCCTAAATGTTGCTGTGGGAGCCTTTGGGGCCCGGGGATGGCGCTGCTGTGGCCCCCTGTGGCTCAGCCTCCCAGTCTTGGCTGTGCTGCCAGCCTGGCCCTGCCTGGGCCCAGCCCAGAGGCTCGAGGAGGGACTGTGGGGAGGAGCGTGTCCAGTGCGCAGCCCCTGCCCCTGCCCCCGCGGGAGATTCCTGGCCATTTTAAGAGAAGCCTGGAAGGGCCATGCAGAAATCTAAATGCGTCCTTGGGACAGGGCCTGTGCCAGCTATTCAGAGAGCCTCCCAGGATAGCGCCGGCCACCTGCTGGGCAGGCGTTCCAGGGTGGGGCCTCGACCCAAACCGAGGGGAGCCCCCCCAGCCCACCAAGTCCATTCCCAGGCGCCTTTGTCACCAGGCCAGAATGCCTGCTGAGGAGCCAGGGTGGGAGCAGAGGGACCTCGCGATGGCCGCCCCGCCCCGCACGCTGTGGTCTTCAGTCTCCTCTGTCCCTGGGGCAGGCGGGTGGGACCTCGGAGGGCGTCCCCAGCTCAGACCTTCTGGGTTTGAGCCGGGACTGGGACTTCACTGGGCACCAGGTGGGCGGGAGCTGTTGAGGCGACCGACTCGTCCGTCCCCTCCGCTTCCTTTGTCTCACAGAGTCACTAGTTCTGTCACCCACTCACGGGCTCTGTCCCTTTCTCCTTCGCCCCTCGTGGCCCCTCCCCTGTCCTCCGAGCCCCCAGCTGTCCCAGCACCTCTGGCAGGGCCAGGCTGCTGACCGGGCCCTTCCCTGCAGGGAGGGCTCCTTGAAGGTGGGTGACAGGCTGCTCGGCGTCGATGGGATCCCGCTGCACGGGGCCAGCCATGCCGCCGCCTTGGCCACCCTGCGGCAGTGCAGCCACGAGGCGCTCTTCCAGGTGGAGTATGACGTGGCCATCCCAGGTGAGGTGGGGCCTGAAGGCTGGGGTTGGGGCAGGAAGAGGCCCAGGGCAGGGAAGAGTGGGCACGGATCCTCAGCACTGTGAAGGCTGTGTGCCCTTGGGTCAGTCGCTGAGCCTCTCTGCGCCGCTGTGGGTAATAAACACTATGTGCTGCGCATTGTTTGATGCACTGGGGGGTCCAGCTGAGAACAGTACAGATGGGGTCTCTGTTCTCAGGGAGCTGCCGTTCTGGTGGAGGGAGATGGACAGTAGATAGAATAAGTCAGATACAGAGTGTGTCAGATGACGTGCCGTGAACACCATCAGGGAGAGAGCTGGGAGCAGCCGCGCGCCCTCTAACTGGCAGCCACCCAAGTGAGAGAAATGTGCCGGAGGCTGGGCCAGGCTGGTTGCTGCGGGCAAGGGTGGAAGGGGCGGCTTCAGGAAATGCGGCGGAAGTGGAACTGGCCTGGTTCTCGGGGCTGGACACAGTGGCGGGGCCAGAGCAGGAGGAGCTTTCCAGCCGCTGGGTGGGTCGACGGGCGCTGTCTGCTGAGATGGGGAAGGCCCGCAGTGGTACCCTGTGGTTCAGTGCCAGCATACAACAGGCTGTCAATAAATGTGAGATTAGTGTCAGCCAGCGGAGCCCGGGGTCGGAGCCCCTCAGACCTGAACCCCTGCCCTCCTCTGCGGCTGAGCGGCCGTGTGCCCTTGGACGAGGCCTTGTCCTGCACACAGCACCGTGTTCTGGGCTGCCTAGTGGTGCGGTAGTCCCTCCCTGGCATATGGCAGAAAGGACCCTGCTGGAAAGGGCTCAGGATTTGCATTTCAAGCTCCTCCTTCCTTCCCTGTGCCAGATACGGTGGCCAGCGCTTCTGGGCCCTTGATGGTGGAAATAACCAAGACGCCGGGATCCGCCCTGGGCATCTCACTCACCACCGGCTCCCACCGGAACAAGCCGGTTATCACCATCGACCGCATCAAGCCGGCCAGCGTGGTGGACAGGTGGGGCACACGCCGGGTGCTGCCGTGGCAGGGGTGGGCATGCGGTGGGAGAGGCCGCCCAGCGCTCTGTCCGGCCAGACCAGCCTCCACCTTCACCCCTCCCGCCGGCCAGGAGTGGGGCCCTGCATGCTGGAGACCACATCCTGTCCATCGACGGCACCAGCACGGAACACTGCTCGCTGCTTGAGGCCACCAAGCTCCTGGCCAGCGTGTCAGAGAAGGTGCAGCTGGAGATCCTGCCTGTTCCCCGCAGTCGGAGGCCCCTGAAGCCCTCGGAGGCAGGTGGGCTCAGCTCAGACCTGGGTTCAGCTCAGGGCCCTCAGCAGGTGCAGGGGAGGCAGCCAGGCGGTAGGAGGGCCTGAGGACCACCTGCGAGGAGCTGGGGTCCCCTGCCTGGAACGGGGAGCTGAGTGCTGGAGTTCTGAGAGCAGAGGGAGCAGGTGGGCTAGGGGACCAGAGGGCCGAGCTGGGGGCTGGGGCAGGGTGAAGTGTGGTCAGAGCGAGGCCGCTCCGGGTCAGGAAGCGCCTCCAGCAGTCCAACCCTGGGCTTTGGCTTCAAGTCCCGGCACTGCCCCCTGCTGGCCAGGCGCCCTGCCTCTCTCAGCCTCAGTTGCCTCATCTGTAAACAGGAGCGAGGACTCGACTGCTCAGGCTTGGGGGAGGTTGCAGGAGGTCAAGGACAGAGCCCGGCCCAGGGCTGTGGGTTCCAGCCTCAGTCAGGACACAGCGTGTGGGCAAGGCTGGAGTGTGCTCACCTGTCCTCCACAAGCCCCACCCGGAGAAAGATATCCCCTGATCAGATGTGGGGGTGGGGCTGTGGGAGGGTCCACTCTGACAAGGCCACAGCCAGGGGCCCATCCAGGAGGCCTTGGGCTTGAAGTCCTGTCATTGTGTCATTCATTCCCACCTATTTACGGAGCCCCTGCCAAGGGCCAGGGTGGCCTGGGCTTCCCGTGGGTCGCCTGGGTTCATCCTCCCACCATCTCTCAGGTCCGTGTTGCTGCTATCCCACTTTCAGAGGTGGCCGAGGCTCAGAGAAATGTGTCTCCTCCAGGGGGCACACAGCTGGGACAGTCCTCCTGGCCTGTCCTCCTGGCCCTCGTTAAGTGGGCCTCCGCTGGGCACTGGGCAGGCTCTAAGCCCACCACACGTGTGAGCCCATCCTGACCCTCCCCGCTGCCCTGGGAGGTGGCCGCTATCCTAGTCCCATTACACAGATAATGACACAGAGGCACAGAGGGCCTCGCTCATGCCCCGGAGACAGCCAAGCTCCTGGGTGAGGGTGAGGGTGCCGCTCCGGGAGGCAGAGTCAGTGTGCCACGGCTAGCGGGTCCTCTCTTGACGGGTAGCCAGGCGGGGCCCTGGAAGCTCCACAGCAGAAGAAGCGGGACAGGGCCTGGGGCATTCCGGGCGAGGCGTGGCGTGGCCTAGCCTGGAGGATCAGCTGGGGAAGGTGGGGAAGGCAGGATCTCTGGGGTCCCCGGGAAGCAGATGCTCAGACGGAGCAGGAGTGCCAACAATTCTCGGGGGCAGGCCTGTGAAAGGCTGAAGTGGGAGCACGAGGAGCAGCCTCAGGGGCGGGGCGGGCGGGTCTGAGCAGCGCTCCGCGCGGTCTGCAGGCTGGAAGGGCCACGTGCTTGGCCCCGGAGGACCCCGAGGCGCTGCGCCACACCTCCGCCGGCTGCCCTTCTCGCAGAGCCGCGGCCAGTTTTCGCCCGGTTCGGACCCGGCCCCGCGATCCTCCTGTCCCTTGGACGCGCGCGTCCAGGCCCTGGGCGCAGACTCCCGAGCGCCGCCCTCGCTCCGGGGAGGCGCGGGATCCCGGCCCTGCCGTCCGCCCTCATCCGCAGGCGCAGCGCTCGGGGTTCCGGCCGCTCCGCCCTGACTCGGCCTCTCTCCCGCCCCGGCCGCAGTGAAGGTGCAGAGGAGCGAGCAGCCGCGCCGCTGGGAGCCCTGCGCGCCCTCCTGCCGCAGCCCCCGGCCCGGTCCCCGGGGACCGCCTGCCTGGGCCGCCGCTGGTGCCCCGGACCCGAGCCGACGTAACGTGGCCTGCACGGCGCGTGCATGTTTCACGGGGCGGAGGCGTGGGGGTCCTGTCCGCGGCACCCTGCGCCCCAGGGATGGGGGTCCTGCCCGAGGCACCCTGCGCCCCAGGGATGGGGGCTGCCCGCGGTACCCTGCGCCCCAGGGATGAGGATCCTGCCCGAGGCACCCTGCGCCCCAGGGATGGGGGGCCTCCCTGGCGGCTGCGCCCCCAGGTTTGGGAAGCCTGCAGTCTTTGAGGCCCAGGGGGGAGACGAACCCGAGGTCCCCAGCGAGCGGTGGAGGTGAAAGGGAGAAGGCACCCCCCTCCCCATCCCCCCGGGGTTGGGCGGCTTCAGAAGCCGCTTGTGGCAGGGTGGAGGGCCCTGCTGGGTTCACGGGGCTGTGCTCTCATCTCCCCAGCCTTGTCCTCGACTCCCTTTTCCTCGCCGACCATGAACCACGCCTTTTCCTGCACCAACCCCAGCACCCTTCCCCGTGGATCCCAGCCCATGAGCCCCCGGACTACAGTGGGGCGGAGGAGGCAGCGAAGAAGGGAGCACAAGAGCTCATGTAAGCTGTGGTCTCCTCCTTCCCCTTTGGGCTGCGTTGCTGCCTGAGAGAGAGATTTGCCAAAGAGGGGTGGGTATTTTGGACGTGGCCCCAGGTGTTGATGGGGTCGTTAAATAGCATGAGTGGTACACCAGGCTGCTGTGGATGGTTGGGGAGGTTGTGCATTGCACAAGGACATACCTGACGGGTGCCACTTTGTACATTTTAGTCTTGCATTTTTATTATGGAAAGTTTTCAATAGGTAATGGCAAAGTGTCCTGAGGAAATGATGCCTTTTCAGATTTGTGTGAAGCTCTCACAGTTCATTTTCTTTTCATTCGGTCCTTCTGATCCATTCAAGGAGAAAGTCTGAGTGTGGCGAACGGTGTCTTTACCGCCTCTTGGACGTTTTTAATTTCCTCTAAGACAAAGACACACAGGCCTGAAACTAGCTATCGGGGATGTAATCGTCTTCACTTTTACTAGATATATATTTCTACTCACCTTTTGTTTATAAACATTTCTCTTTATTTATAATGGCTATGTATATAGTTCCCTTTTGAAATGAATGTACTTAACTATTTAAAAAAGTGAATAAATATGAAGATAAATAGTAGTGAATGATAATGCAGGAGGCATGTGGGAGTAGTGAAAGTCATGAGAATGTCCAGAATTTGGAAATTTTTCCTGGGAAGTTTTTACTTTGTTGATGTAGAAAGTGTACCCCACTTCCTGCCATGGGAGTTGCCTCCAAGGAAGAATGGAGGGTCAAACTGGGCCATTTGGAATTGAACCAGGTTAGGGAAAAAAGGAGTACAAGTCACCTGGCACCTGAAAGGAGCTGAATATGGTTATGAACTTCCCAGGAGTCAAGGTGAAAAGGGAAGCACTTCAGTCAGTTGAGAGATAAAATACACCTTTACCAACCACCTTTGTCAGCCACTGAAGCTGGGGATGTGTAGGTGAAAAGATTCAGAAATGCTCTTCATAGGCAGCGGCATGTGGAGGCTCGGGGCTCTTGGGACCCCTTTCCTATGCCCTTCCGAGGATGGGTGCCTAATAAAGTATTATCATTATTATTATTATTGATGATAACAATTAGTTAAAAAATCATTTTTGAATACCTCCTATGTACCAGGCACCATTCTTTTTTCTTTTGAGGAAGATTAGCCCTGAGCTAACATCAGTGCCCATCTTCCTCTACTTTAAATGTGGGGCGCCTACCACAGCATGGCTTGCCAAGTGGTGCCATGTCCGCACCCGGGATCCGAACCAGTGAACCCTGGGCCGCCGAAGCGGAACGTGCACACTTAACTGCTGCGCCACCGGGCCGGCGCCCAGGCACCATTCTTATCATTAGGAATGTAATAGTGAAAAAAATAGTCAATGTAAATAGAACAACACAATATACCTGACATCATAATATATTACACACATTGTAATGTGTAATATAAACTATAACAAAATAGTATATGAAGACATAATAGTATAATATAATTAGTAATAGAATGAAATGCAATAAATTTTATTTAATAAGTGATATCCAGTATCCATATTAATAATAGGAATGTTTTTATATGTGGAATATAAAAGTGTATATTAAGAAACATAATCCAATAGTTAGAAAGTAATCGTTGGACTCTGCAATTCCACACCTAGGGATCTGCCCAAGAAAAATGAAAGCATATGTCACGTCCGCCCAAAAGCGTGTATGTGACTGTTCGTGGCGGCGTTATCCAAACTGTCACAAAGGTGGAAACAACTCAGATGCCGTCAGCAGATGAACAGACAGACAGAATGTGGGGTCCTCACAGGGGTGCCATTCAGCCTTAGAAAGGGCGACATGCTGATGCTCCTGTTATGCGGACGAACTCTGGCAACGCGATGCTCAGTGAGAGGAGCCAGGCGCAAAAGACCGCGTGTTGTGTGATTGCATTTCTGTGAACTGTCCAGGACAGGCGTGTCTACAGAGAAGGAAGTAGCTCAGTGACTGCTCACAGGAGAGAGGGGGTGGGGGCCATAGCTAAAGGGGACAGGGCTTTTTCTGAGGCGATGAAAATGTTCTAAAATTGATTGTGGTGGAGGTTGTTCAACTTGGTGAATATACAAAAAGCCATTGAATTGTACCCTCAAGATGTGTGAATATTAGGGTGGGTGCATTGTGCCTCAGTAAAGCCGTTACCAAACATAACATAACATGGACTATGCGTATACTAGTGGCGATCTGATATGATGTGATACGCAATAATAAAACAGGACGTGACCTGGCATAGTATCAGCGACCCTCAGGACTTCTGTTCCACAACCGGCAGGCCCAGGAGCCGTCTTCCTGGATCCTGGCCACAGCCCTGCGGGTGGGGTTCCGTCCCATTGCCCGGGGAGGAAGCCAGGGCTCAGGGCAGGCTGTGACGGGCTGGCCCGTGAGTCGGGCCTCGAGGCCGGCGCGGGGCTGGCTGGGCGGGAGGGAGGGCAGCTCTGCCCGGCCCGCCTGAGCGCCATGCCGCCTCCCCGCAGTGTCGCTGGCTTCCAGCACAGTGGGACCCGGTGGGCAGATCGTGCACGCGGAGACCACGGAGGTCGTGCTCTGTGGAGACCCTCTCAGCGGCTTTGGCCTCCAGCTCCAGGGCGGCATCTTCGCCACCGAGACCCTGTCCTCCCCGCCCCTCGTGCGCTTCATTGAGCCGGACAGCCCAGCTGAGAGGTGAGCCTGCTGCCCCTCCCCGCCGGGCCTGCCACTCTCCAATTCAGGGGGCTCATGGACAGCCAGGGAAACCGAGTCAGACACCAAGCCTGGCTGTACAAGGGTATCTCGCCTAACCATCACATCAACTCCATCACCAGCCCCATTTTACCTATGAGGAAACTGAGGCTCAGAGAAGCTGATTCACTTGCCCGGGGTCACACTGCTCCTGAGTGACCCAGGACTTGAACTCCTATCTGTCTGAAGTCAGAGTCCTCTCTATATGCATCTCGTAAGGTGCGGCATCATCCCCATTGGACAAACAGAATCTGAGGCCCAGTAAGGTCACACCCTTCTCCAGAGTCACGTGGTAAATTGCCTGAGGACCTCTGGCTGGCAGGGGCTGAGCTGAGAGTCACACCACGGGCAGGCTGGGCCCTGCTCCTGCACCATGTCCTGTCTCCCTGTGGAGCTGGGATGGTGATGGACCTGCTTCTCTCTGCCGGGCTGCCCGGGTTCAGGTGTGGGCTGCTGCAGGTGGGGGACCGTGTCCTGTCCATCAACGGCATTGCCACCGAAGATGGGACGATGGAGGAAGCCAACCAGTTGCTTCGAGACGCCGCGCTGGCCCACAAGGTCGTGCTGGAGGTCGAGTTCGACGTAGCAGGTGAGCGATGCCTCTGACTTCTCCGGCACCCCACTCTCATCTCCACCGGCCCCCATCTCCCTTCTCCCAGGGTCCTTTGCAGCATATGCCTGAGCACTGACGGTGGGAAGGAAGAAGGGATCCCACGGCCCGTGTGAGGGTGATGAGGGAGTTTGCAAACAGGACCTGGGGAGGGCGGCTGGGGGCTCAAAGTTCTCTGAGCCCCACACAGCAGCTCAGGCGAGAATTCCGTCCTGCGGGGCGGCCCCTCTGTGCTTTGGAAGGATGTTTCTCTGCAGCCCTCACTTCCCCGACTGAGAGATAGGGGTGGAGTCCTTCTGCTCCAGGGGTGTTCCCATTAGATGAGGTGAATCGTGTGCGAGCACCCCGCTAAGGCCTGGCACACAGTGGTTATTCCGCGAATTGTCTGGATCTGAACCGGGTTGGGTTTGGCTGTGGGGATCCCCCTGGCTGGCAGTCATGAGGTCTGGGGCCCAGTCCCAACTCTGCTCTGACCAGGTGGGCTGGTCTTGGGCGGATCTGTCGGCCCACCATGCCTGAGTTTTCTGTCAGTCAGTGGAAGAAGCAGCATGGGCTTGGGACACCGACTTTTTGGGGTCTCTTCCGGCTGGAGCAGAATGGGTGTGTGGCCGGGTCCGCCTCAGGCTCCTCTCCTGGGTCTCACCGAGTCCACGTCTCTCTGTGCGCAGAGTCCGTCATCCCGAGCAGCGGCACGTTCCACGTGAAGCTGCCCAAAAGGCGCGGCGTGGAGCTGGGCATCACCATCAGCTGTGAGTCCCTCCCCGCCCCACGGCCTGCCTGGCCCTGGGGCCAGCCCACCTGCCAGGAGAAAGAGGTGCCCAGCCCCGGGGGCGGCCGCTGGCCTCTTCACAGCAGGGACACACGCCTGGCCCCAGGGGAAAGGCTCCGGTGGGAGGCTGACTTGAGTCCTTCCACCCTGTCACGTGCGGCCGTGTGTCCTCAGCAAGACCTGAGCTTCTCGAAGCCTCAGTTTCCCCTTCTGCACAATGAGTGTCTTCTAGCCTTTGGGTCTCCCGGTGGGATGGAGCGGCATGTCAGGCACCAAACGCATGGGCCAGGTTTGGTTTTCTGTCTCGCTCCGTGTTCCCAGGGCCCAGAAGAGGCCTGGAACACAGTAGGTGCTTAATTCATGTTCCCATTCTGGTCACCAACGGGAAAACCTATCAGCACAATTCGATTTTTTTGCAAGAAAACTTAGCCACTCCTGTGACACCCGTCTTGGGTTGTATTCCTGCAGGACCGGCTTGGCAGTTGGGCATTCGGTGCAGCGTGCAGGGTTTATGCGGGAGAGCTCTCGGGGCCATAGCTGGGAGCCGTGAGGGCAGGTGGAGGGGGATGTGGCACCTCGCATGCCAGCAGTGTGGCGGGCGGGCGAGAGGAAGAAGCCAGGCTGTGACGCAGTCGCCCACGAGGGCTGGGCCAGCCCCAGGAGAGCTCTAGGGCGGGAGTGGTGCGGCCGTCCTGTGCGTAGCTGGGAGGCAGCCTTGCTCCGCTGCGTGGACCGGTTGTGGGATGTGGGCTCACCTCGGGGCACTCCTGGGCCACAGAGTATTTCCAGAGACGCAGCCGCCGTGAGCCGTGCTGCCAGCACTGCCTGCAGCTGGGGGGGAAGAGCCGACTGTGGCAGGGCCACCCTGCCCCAGAGGCTCTGGGTCCCCACCCTGGGCCAGGTGCTGCTGGGGACACAGACACCAGCCAGATGCAGCCCCTCGGGGAGCTCACAGTTTGCTGGGGGATGGGCTGAGCAAGAGGAAAAAAGGGCTGATGTGGATTGAGCACCTACTGTGTGCCAGGGTCCATGTGAGGTTTCCTGCCTGCCTTGTCTAGTTTCATCTCACGACAACCCCATGAGGCCTGTGGCATCATCCCCATTTTACAGAGGGGAAACTGAGGCACAGAGAGGGGAGCTGATTTGCTCAGTCACCCAGCTGGGAAGCAGTGGGAATGGGGCGTGTGGCTCTGAGTCCACGCCCCAGCTCCTGGCCCCCACTGCCGAGGCTGAGGTGATGGAAGGTTGGACTCTGTCCTCTTGTCCTTCAGCGGCCAGCAGGAAGCGAGGGGAGCCCCTGATCATCTCTGACATCAAGAAGGGCAGCGTGGCACACAGGTAGGGGGCCCAGGGCACATGCAGGGGGTGTGGTCAGTGAAGGTGGACATGGCACCTCACGCGCCAGGCTCCTTCCCGACCCCCACTCCTGCTCATGTAGGACGGGCACTCTGGAGCCAGGTGACAAGCTGTTGGCCATCGACAACATCCGCCTGGACAACTGCCCCATGGAGGACGCCGTGCAAATCCTGCAGCAGTGCGAGGACCTGGTGAAGCTGAAGATCCGCAAAGACGAGGACAACTCTGGTAGGGCCCCCACCCCCCGCCCCCTCTCGAGGCCCGTGCTTTGACCACGGGGGCTCCCCTCGGCCGAGGGGCTCCAGGATGGGTGCTCCCCAAGGGCTGGCTGGTAGAGACTCTTTGAGTGAACAGACGTGGGAGGGGGTGGCACTGTGCACTTCTCCCTGTCACTGGGGATGTCGGGCAGTCTGAGATGCACAGAGCCCAGCAGCGGAGACCCTCAGGAGCAGGTCGCAGCGGAGAAGCGGGTGGAATGGCAATGAGGGTGGGGCTGCGCTGCTGTGAGGGGGTGTGAATGAAGGAGCAGAGGCTGCAGACTCAGACCCCTGAGGCCAGGCAGGTGACCGGAGTGAGTGAACTGGACAGAGGGAGGAAAACGACACAGGTCAGTGGGGCAAAGAGAAGGGTGAGGACTATGGCCACAGGAGAGCGAATCGCTCATTCGGAGGGGCAGCCACCAACTCCTATCCTGAAAAGGGGGTCACTTGTGAACAGATTTCTGCTTTTTTTTAAGAAAAGCTGGAGATCTGGTTTCTTCTTATCATCATTATCATTGTCACCATCATTATTGTTCTTATTATCTGTGGTGTGTGAAATCTGTATTTTAGATGCCAGTTCCATGTTTCTTTTCTTTTCCTTTTTTTTTTTTTGAGGAAGATTAGCCCTGAGCTAAGTACTGCCAGCCCTCCTCATTTTGCTGAGGAAGACTGGCCCTGAGCTAACATCCGTGCCCATCATCCTCTACTTTATATGTGGGACGCCTACCGCAGCATGGTTTGCCAAGTGGTGCCATGTCCGCACCTGGGATCTGAACCGGTGAACCCGGGCTGCCGAAGCGGAACGTGCACACTTAACCACTGCACCCCCGGGCAGGCCCCTCTTTTCCTTTTTTTTTTAAAATGCTTTTTGGGTGCAAGAAAATATTTCTGGAGGCATAAGATGGCCTCCAGGTCCCCAGGTTGAGCTGTCTGAAGTCATGGCTTGAGTGAGTGGGTGAAGGGATGGATGGGTGGATGATGAGTGAGTGCCCTAAGGCTGGAGGCTGGGGGCGCCCAGCTCCTGGGCCTGCCCCCTGGGTCCTGCCTGATGGGTCTGCCCTTGCAGATGAGCAGGAGACGACAGGTGCCATCAGCTACACGGTGGAGCTGAAGCGCTACGGGGGCCCCCTGGGCATCACCATCTCCGGCACCGAGGAGCCTTTCGACCCCATTGTCATCTCAGGCCTCACCAAGCGCGGGCTGGCTGAGAGGTGAGCCAGGACTCCGTGGGGACCCTGGGTGGGCCCGGGGACCCTTATGGGGCAGAAGCTGGGCTTTGGGATCAGCCAAGCTGGATTCTGACCTTTCTTCCAACATGGGTCCCCTGGTGATATGGGGCCTGTCCCTCCCCTCTCTGAGCCTCCATTGGGCAGAGGTGGGCCAGCCCCTGCAGACGGCCGGCTCCAGGTACATGCTGGACAGTGTGCGCTCAGTCCCTGCTCCCTCCCAGCCTGGCTCCACCGCTTCTGGAAGGTCAGCATTGTGAGCCTTTTTGGAGGGGCTGCTGTGTGCCTTTCTAGTACAGGGGCCATGTCCATCCCGGGTTCCCCTACAGCCTGGGGCTTTTCCTGCCCCTGCTGTCCTCTCCCCTAGAAAGTGTCCCCGCAGTTGTGGCAGCTGGGGGAGCTGTGAGAAGTGGGGTGTCCCGGGCTGTGCGGCTTGGAGGGAGAGCGGCGAGTGGGTCTGGGACCCAGAGGTGGAAGGGGGCCCCCTGGGGATCACAGGGAGGCCACCCCAGCGTGGGTGACGTGAGCGTTTTCCCGCGAGCTCCCGGCACTGACAGGAGCTGACTGTAGAGGGAGAGGCTGGCTAGGTCTGGCGGGCAGGCTGGGGCGCAGCGGGAGGCCCGGGATCCTGGGGCTCAGGCTCCCCACCGCTCCGTGTGGCGTTTCCGCTCCTGGAGCGCCCCCTGCTGGACACCCGGCAGACCACAGAGGCTCCGCGGACGTTCTCCCCTCTGAGTCGCCCTCCTCCCGCGGCTGCTGGGCGCCTCCGCCTGGCCGAGGATGCTCGGCGTGTCCCACTGCGCGCTACACGTTTGTTCATCAACTTTCTAGGAGCCACATTAGAAAAGTAAAAAGAAACAAATAAAATGAGTCTTAAGTATACGTTTATTTCAACATGTAAAAATTTTTAACAAAATGCATTACATTCCTTTTTTATACTACGTCTTCAGAACCTACTGTGTTTTTATACTTTCGGCACATTGCCACTGGGGCCAGGCGCGCTCCGGGTCCCTGCAGCCACGTGTGGCTGGTGGCCGTCGTGCTGGCCTCCCCCTCTGAATCCCCCATTCCCTGACTCACTCATTCCTCAGGCCCCTGGGGAGCTTGCTGGGCAGTGCTGGGCTGGGGGGGGCACACAGGCTGGCCCGACTCTCCGTGAGCTCCACCTGGGGGGCGACATCTACCTTTGGGGTTCAAGACCCCCGCCCCAGTCCTCTGCGTCCCGACCCCCCACCAGGTCGGGTGCCTTCTCAGCACCAGCTGCGGGCTTCTCTCCGCCCTCCCAGCCCTGGCTGCTCCTGGGAAGCCCCTCCCCGCCCACTCCTAGAGCCGCTATGTAATTGGTTGGAGGTGGGGGCCAGGCGTCTGCATTGTTTAAAAAGCTCCTCAGGTGTCCTAATGGTATCTAGGTAGAAAACCACTGGACCAGAGCAATGCTGGGGCCTGGCCTTAGCCCCTGGCAGCCCCTTGTGAAGTCAGCTGGCCCTGGGGGATTATGCTCATTCTCTAGGTGGGGAAACTGAGGCCCTGGGAGAAAGAAAGGCTACCCGTGTGTTTCTGCTGGAGGGAAACATGCATCCATTCCATCCATCCATCATTCAATTATAACTGATACAATAAGTATTATCACGCTGACTTTACAGGTGCAGCAACTGAGACTCAGGGAAGCTAAGAACTGGTCTGAGCTTGTGTAGCTAGTATGCGGCCGCTCGTATGTGGGATTCAAACCACACTCAAAACTCAGGCTTGGCCCTGGTTGCAGAACCTAACTTTAGAGTCAGGCAGGATAATCCCCTCCCAGATTCTAGACTTTGTACCTCTATGAAGAGTATACCTTATACCTCTTCATGCAACCCAAGATCACACTTACTTTTTTTGCAGCTGGGTTTAACTGAGGTCAGCTAGGCTTGTGCCTTGGGGGTCCTGAGTTCCCTGAGGGCAGATCATTACTCCGAAACCCTGAGTGTCTGACTCCCATCCCCTGCCTGTGCCCCCTCCCCAGGACTGGCGCTATCCACGTTGGAGACCGTATTCTGGCCATCAACAGTGTTAGCCTCAAGGGCCGGCCGCTGAGTGAAGCCATCCACCTCCTGCAGGTGGCTGGTGAGACCGTCACGCTGAAGATCAAGAAGCAGCTAGACCGTGAGCCTCACCCCACGCCCGGGCCACACAGCCGTTTAGGAAGGCGGATCCCCCGTGCCTCTGTGCCAGGATGTGTGCCCAACCTCAGGCAACCTCACTAATCCTGTGGGGGGGCGGACACCCGGGACAGCTGAGGAGACAAGGCCCAGAGAGGGGCACAGTGGGCCAAGGGCACACAGCTGGCGTGGGGCAGCCTGGGTCGGAGCCACGCTCTTCATTACCTCCTGCCTTTTGAGGCTGCTTGCAGCTGTGACTTGTGCGTCCCTCAGTTTCCCTGAGTTTCCCTGAGTTGGCAGGGAGGCCACCATGCGCTGTGGAAGGAACCTGAGCTTCAGGGTCTTGCTTCTGATCTGGGCTCCACTGTTGCTCACCATGTGACCTTGGGCGTGTTGTCAGCCTCCGGAGCCTCAGTTTCCCATCTGTGGAGTGGGTTTGCCTGTTAGCATGCCACCTCCCACCTGTCAGATGCCCCAGCAGCAGCTCTGGGGCTCAGGGCCTGTGAGCTCCCGACCAGACTGACGTGGGGAAACGCTCGCCAAGTGGCTCTGGGTCTCCGAGGTCAGAGGCCAGTGGCAGTGACACCCCTTTTCCTCCCAGGCCCCCTCCCACCCCGCAAGTCGGGCAGCCTCAGCGAGGCCAGCGACGTGGATGATGACCTGCCAGAGGCGCTCAAAGGAGGCATGCGGGCAGCCCGGGGCTCCCCGGCCGTGCCCAGTGTGGACAGCGCCGTGGAGTCCTGGGACAGTGTGGCCACGGAGGGCGGCTTTGGGGGCCCAGGTAACACCCGGGCCCTCGGACCAGCAGCACGCTCTCTCTGGGCTGCCCCAACTGCCAGGCCTTCACAAGGGCTGTTCCCTCCCCTGTGTCCTCGCTCCTCCTCTCCCAGCTCCGTCCCTTAGGGACGCTCTCCTGAAGGCGACCTGACTGTGCTGCTCAGCATCCCCGGGCCCCCGCTCCTCCGAGTGAACCACGGGCATTTTCATTAGCGTCCACAGCCGATTCCCCCACCGTGAGTGAGGTCAGGGACCAAGGGACTGCCTTCTGTCTTCCTTGTCCCCGGCCCAGTGCCTGGCACCCGGCAGGGGCTCAGGCAAGGTTTATTGCGTCCAGTTGAAGATGGGAAGGCAGAGCCCCCTCCCACCCGTCCTGCGAGACCTGGCTGGGGCTGGACGCCTCCGAGTGCCTGCCTAGACATGAGTTCTCCTGCCCGTGCATGTTGAGACCATGAGTGGCCTTGGGGTTGGGACGCGTGAATCCAGTGGCTGCCCTTTTGACCTCTGTGACCCAGAGCCACGGGGTCTCCCCAGGCCCAGCTCAGGGAACTCGTGGAGCAAGGCCTCTCGGCGGCTCCGTGGCTCCCGGCCCTGGTCCTCACTTGCTGTGTGTCTGCTCTCCCTGGGGTTCGGCTTCCCCTCCTCCAGCACGTGGTCAGCATCTCCCAGCTCACCGCTGGGGCAGGATCTTTAGAGCTTTCAAAGGCAGGGGGACAAGGGTGGCCAAACCGTGAACCTCCCTGTCAGGCGAGGAGCCAGCAGGGCCAAGGCTGGTGGAGCAGGGACAGGGTCCCAGAACCCTGGGGGTGAACTCTTCTCCTGGGTGATCAGGAGATCTGGGGGGTTCTGGGGGTAGGGACCCGGTGGCAGGGGACTCTGGGTAGTCATGCAGGCCCAGAGAGGGCAAAGACCTATCCAGGGCTGCCCAGCATGGCCGGAAATGGGGCAGGAAGGAGGGCAAGCTGAAGGCATGGAGAAGATGCAAATGCTCCCTCTCTCCACTGGCCAGGTTCCTACACTCCCCAAGCAGCACCCCGGGGCGTGACCCCCCAGGAGTGGCGGCCCAGCCGGCTGAGAAGCAGCCCCCCCCCAACTGAGCCCCGGAGGACGAGCTACACCCCGGCCCCTGCTGATGAGAGCTTCCCTGAAGAGGAGGATGAGGAGGAGGACTGGGAGCCACCCTCCAGGTCTGTGGGGGGATGCCACGAGGAGGAGACGGCCCCCTGGCTGGGCTGGGTGAGGGGAGCCAGTCCCTGCACGCGAGTGGGGGGGCAATGGGAGGTCTGGCCTGGACCCTGAGGAGGGGCGCCTCCTGATGGAGGCAGGGAGCCCTGGGCAGAGCATCGCAGCCAGGCCGCGGTGGAGAGGGCACAGGGGCAGAGGTGTGGCAGGGGGAGCAGCCTGGCTTATCCTTCCAGGTCTGGTAACCTGCAGTTCTGAGAAGAGCAGCAGCAGACTCAGAACTTGAACCCAGACCCTCCCGACTTAGCCTGGATTGCTTGATGGCCTCCACTGGGGCCCTCATCACGGGCACCAGCCCTGGCCGGGCGTGTGGTGGCTTCTGTAGTGTCGCCCCCTAGCGAGAGCAGGCCCGTGGAGAACTGCTGCTCCCCTCAGCCCTAGCCACCCCCTTTTTGTGTCTGTGCTTTTGCTCAGGCAGTTCCTTCTGCCTAGAACGCCTTTCCCGCTCCCCTCCTGGCCAATGCCTACTCATCCTTCAAAAACCATCCTTCAGGGCTGGCCTGGTGGCGCAGCGGTTAAGTGCGCATGTTCCGCTTTGGCGGCCTGGGGTTTGTGGTCTGGATCCCAGGTGTGGATATGGCACTGCCTGGCATCCCAAATATAAAGTAGAGGAAGATGGGCATGGATGTTAGCTCAGGGCCAGTCTTCCTCAGCAAAAAGAGGAGGATTGGCAGCAGATGTTAGCTCAGGGCTAATCTTCCTGGGAAAGAAACAAACAAAACCCAGCTCTAGCTCCTGCCCGTGGGAAGCTCCCTGACTTCCTCTGGCAGAAGGCCTTCCTCCCTCCTTTGCTGGTTCCATGGCTGCTATTGCGACCCTCCCGGTGGCACTGGCCGCCTTGCATCTACCTGCCCAATTACCCAGCTGTCTACCTGGCTAGTCACGTGGCACCCCAGCTCAGAGCTGGCACCGATGGGTGCCATATCTACCTTGCGAGTGAGTCCCCAGTTCCTTAGGAGCAGGGCCACACCTTATCCCCTCCACAGCACTGTGCCCAGGGGAGGGCCCAGCTCAGGGTCCGTAGACCCGGCTGGAATGGAGAGAATGTCCTTCAGCCTCATCTCCTCATCTTTAAAATGGGAAGGGAAGTGGGCAACGACTTTGCATGCTCATCCCTGAGGCTCCGTGCAAGAGGAAAGCCTGCATGCCTAGGCTAGAGAAGGTGCTTTGCAAACCACAGCATACTTTATAAACGTCCGGGACTCTGTAGACGGCGAATGGCTTTGTGAACTACCAAGCGTGAAAATGTGACTTGTTGCCATTCTAATGAGGCTTGATTTTAGAGCTGATGACAGGCTTATCCAAGCTGTGATGGAAGTTAGGGGGTATCCTCGACCCCTGCCCCAGCACAAATACTCCATGCTCTCCATCCGTCTGTGTCCTTGCTGGCTCTGGCTCTGTCCCTCTCCTTGTCCTTCGGTGCCATGTGTCTTGGGGGGGCCAGGGGCTGTCCGCTGGGGCTACACCATGGATCTCCTCTCTGTCTGTCCGTCTGTCTGTCTGTCTGTCTCTCTTCTCAGGCGTCCTGTGTCACCGCTCTCCACCCCGTCTCATCTGCCCCTGTTCTAAGTGGCCACCGGCAGTCCTGGTTGCCCCTAACTGCGTCTTCCCCCCGTTCTGTGTCACCAACCACTGCCCTGGGGCCCTAGCACTGCCACCGAGGATGCCTGCCTGCCTACCTGCCCGCCCTCCCACGCTATGGCCCCTCAAGCCCGGCGCTGGGCCCCGGGGCCCTGAAGACTCCTCAGGCCCCAGCCTGCCTGCCCGCCCACCCGCCCACCAGGAGTTGACGCTCTCTGGTTCCTACGTTACAGCCCAGCCCCCGGCCCCGCCCTTGAGGAGGGCTTCTGGCATGTGTTTGGGGAAGCCCTCGAAGACCTGGAGTCGTGTGGTCAGTCAGAGCTGCTGAGGGAGCTGGAGGTATGGCCAACCCCCTGCAGTCCTTCCTGGGGGCGCCCGTGTGTGGACGCCCCCGAGTGTGTGCCCATGGGAGGCAAGCATGTTGATGGGATCCTGCTCATGGGTAACATGTAGCATGCACTCGCCTGGCACCCTTTGTGTAAAGGTGACTTCATGCATGTGCAGACCGTGCACAGACACGAGTGCAAGTGTGACTGAGAGTATTGTGTGGCACATTGGGGTGTGTGCACATATGAACATGTCCAGCATCATTGTGTGTGCATTAGGAGCATGTGTGCATGCATGTGTGTGAGCATACTCTTGCATGCACAAATGTTGAGTGTGTTTTCAGAATATGTGTGTCTGAGTGTGTACATTTGGATGCATGGGGCAGCTTTGGTGTCTGTGCGATATGTGGACATGGTTGTGGGCATGCCCTGTGGAAGCGTGTGGATGTCAACATCAGTGACAACACGGGAGCTGAGGGCCCAGGGAGCTGAGAAGTGGATGCAGCTTCGTGTGAGGTCAGCGCTGCCCATGATGGAACAGGCTGCCCTGGACATCTAGGGAGGACCCGACTGGGTCATTTCCGAAACTCCTTCATACTCGGAGGGCAGTGATTTAAACTTCTGCTTTGTCTGTGCTTTTGCCCCCTTTGTATTCCTAATATTGTTGATTGGGGCCATTTTTTTTTCTCTGTCAGTCTTGCCAATTTCTAGGCTCTTCTAAAAAACCAATCTGAGGCTTTGTTAATTCTCTCTTGTGTTTCCTTGTTTTCTATCTTATTCGCTTCTGTGTTTAGCTTTGATGTTCTGTTCCTTCTACTTTATTTGTTTAAGTAATGATACTTTTCCTGGTTTCAAAGCGCCTTAATCTTCAGTCTTTCTTATTGTCTAACAGAGTGCATTTTAAAGCTATGAGTTTACCTGTAAGCACTGCTTTGGCTGTGTCCCACAAGTTTTGATTTGAGGCACTCTTATTGACCATTCAATTTGAAATATTTTCAGAATTTCACTATGATTTTTATTTAAACCCCTGAGTCATACAGAAGTGGTTTTTTTAATCCAAAATTTAAAACCAGTTCATATAGGCTTTCCTTATGTACTGTGGCCAGAAAATGTATTCAATTTGATAGTAATTTTTTAGAGTTTGTTAAGAGTGCTTTCCTTGTGGCCTCGTGTGTGATCAGCTTCAGTAAAGGTTTCATGTGTGCTTGCAAAAGAGGGTGAATTCCCTTTTGTTGGGTGTAGGGTTCTATATAGATCAAGATTTTTAATAAATTTGTTCAAATCTACATTTTTGCTAATTTTATATGCTTTATTTATCTTTATTTTTTTTTTGTTAGCAGTATGATAAGATTCCCATAATGATTGGAGATTTGGCAAATTCTTAACATTCAGTCAATTTTTGTTTACTAACCTTTGAGGTTATATTACTAGTTTCATGTAAATTCATGATGCTATAACTTTTTCATGAATTTTTATTTTTATTATTAATCAGTATCTCTATCTCTATGTGCTTTCCACCTTGTTGTTGTTAATGCTGTTGAGTGGATTCTGACTCTTGGTGGCCCTGTGGACAGCAGAGCAGAACCCTGCCTGGTCTTTTTGCGCCATCCTCTCACCTTCTGGCGCCATATCAAACAATGTTCCACTGCTATTCATAGGGTTTTCTTGGCCAGTTGTTTTGGAAGTGGGTGGCCAGGTCCTTCTTCCGAGTCTGTCTTAGTCTGGAAGCTCTGCTGAAGCCTGTCCACCATGGGTGACCCTGCTGCTATTTGAAATACTAGTGACATAGCTTTCAGCATCACAGCAACACACAGCTGCCACAGTATGACAACCAACAGACGGGTGGTGTGGTCCCTGACCAGGAAATGAACTGGGGCCGCAGCTGTGAGAGCACTGGATCTTAACCACTAGACCACCAGGGGTAGCTGCTTTCCACCTTAAATTCCATTTTCCCTATAATAATATTGTTCCACTAGCTTTATTTTAGTAATATTTCCTGTCTTTTTCTAACATTTATTTTCAAACTTACTGTATCATTTTACGTGTATCTGTCATGTACTGTATATAGCTGATTTCCCCTCCCAATTTGAGTCTCTCTTTTTTAAGGCAAGTTTAGTCCATTTGTATTTATGGTGATTACTAATATAATTAAACTTAATTCTAGCATATAATTGATACTTTCTATTTATCCTGCTTTCTCTCTACTTCTTCTGATCTTGTATCTTTCCTTCTTTTGTATTGATTAAATTTTCATTCCTGTCCACTCTCTCCACCATCATTTTGGAGATTTTTATAATTTTTATTCTCTTAGTGATTTCTTTGTCATTTATTTTACTTTTAATATTCAATTTTTACATTTAAAACTTTTTTATTGTTACAGAAGTTATACATGTGTATGGTATAAAATTAGATGAGCAAGGTAAAATAAAAAATAAAGCCTAAGAACAAAACATTCTCACCACCCAGAGATCACCACTCTTACTGCTTCAGTGAGTATATATGTACTTTTAAGGTAATGAAATCATGATGTACATGCTTTTTTTGTAATTTGCTTTTCTTAGTCAGCTACTCCATTTTTGAATATATGGAAATATCTTTTAAAAATTTTAATCTCTTCTAACACTAAGACCATATTCAGATTTTCAGAGTTGATTCCAAAGTTCCCTTTGACCTGGTCTGTCCAAACCAGTGTCTAATCCATGCCTGGCACCTGTTGCTATGCCTCTTAAGTCTCTTAATTTTAGTCCAGTGCCTTTTTAATGCCGCTGACTTAAAATTTTTGTTTATCAAGATAAAATTCACATAACATGAAATTTACCATTTTAAAGTGGAAATTGAATGTTAAAAGTAAAACAAATGAATTAAGGATAATCACTAACAATTCAAGGGCTTTTAATATATTCATAATGTTGTGCATCCATCACCAGAACATTTCTGATGTCCCAAAAATCAACCCTGCATCTCCCCATTCTTCTCTCCTCCCATCCCTTAGCATCTGCTGTGTACTTTCTGTCTCTGTGGATTTGCCTGTTCTGGACATTTCATATAAATGGAGTCATGCAGTATATGACCTTTTGTATCTGGCTATTTTTGCTTAGCTTAATGTTGGAGCAAGTGTCAGTACTTCATCCTTTTCATGGCTGAATAATATTCCATTGTGTGGATAGGCCATAACACTGACTTTTTGAAAGGACCAGGCCAGTTGACCTTATCTTAAATTTTCCGCACCTTAATTTTATTTTCCTAACAAAGTCTAAGCAATCCCTTTGCCTCCTCCTGAGTGAGACAGGTGCTTTAGACTGCTGCTCCCTCCCTCCAAACCGTCTCCTCTCATCTCCAAACTTGTTTATAAATTGCTCAAAATTAGTTAGTGTGGGGTTTTAGTGAATGCTTATTTAGTTTTATCAGCATGTTTGACCAATTTCTTTGCTTACCGTTGCTTCTTGCATTCCACTTTTTCCTTCTGATCTCCTCCTTTAAGATGTCCTTTTAGTGAGGGTCTTCAGGTGGTAAACTCTTTTAGGTTTAGTATCCTAAAAATGTCTTTATTTCACCCCAACTCTTGAATGATGGTTTAGTTGAGAATGAATTAAAGTTTTCAGCACATACAAAATGCTCAAAAAATTATAGTTACCATGTATAGCAAATTTATGGGCTTCCAAGCCATTTCATTCATTCTTCTAATATTTATTTAGTGCTTGCTCTGTGCCCTCTACTAGCAATTAGGAATTCCACAACTAAAGATGACCAAGATAAGCAGTTACACACTGTTTTTAAGTTTGTAAAATTGTAAATGTTAGGGAAAAAACGTTTTCCTCAGGGCTTTGAAGATGTTATTCGATTGTCTTCTGGCAACTATTGTTGTGCTGTTAGGTTCGTTGTTGTCTCTTTGAAAGTAACATGCTTTTCCTTCCAGTGGCTTTGAGGATTTCTCTCTCTAATGGCTGGTTCTTTTGCTATGATGTTTCTCAGTGTAAGTTTGTTTTTATTTGTCTTACTAGAGACAGTCTTTTTTTTCAGTCTGGGCACTCATTTTTTTCCTTCTGTGCTGGAAAACTCCTAGTCATTATATTTTAAATATTGCCTCTCCTTTGTTATCTCCTTCTGGCATTTCTGTTAGTCGTGCATTGGACCCCTACCCTCCAGGCGTTCTGTCTTCCATGTCAGTTAACTTTTCTTTCACATTTTCTCTGCTCTGTGTTCTACTTGCTTTCCGTAATCTGTCTTCCAGTTGACTAGTAATACAGCCAAGGAGAGAATTATATAATTCTCTCATTATGAATATATTATCCTTGGCTATATTTAGTCTGCTGTCTCACCTATTTCCTAAATACTTTATTTCAACTTCTACATCTTTTATTTCTATAGTTTCTCTTCATTTTTCAAATCTTTATAGTCTTTTTTGATATGTTTGCTTTTCATTTTCTTATTTTTCTGCACATTTTCAGCAGACTTCTTTTAAAGGTTCTTATGGTTTCTCTGCCTTTTCCTAGTTCCCTGGCTGTGAATTCATCTATCGTGTCTGTGGGCAGGTGGACTTTTTATTTCATCGGTGTGCTCACTTTCAGCAGCACTTGCTCCTGCAGGCATTCCACGTGTGCCATGTGGTTGAAGGATTTCTGTAGGAGCTCCTGAGTGTCTTTGCTGGGGCTCTTGGACTTCACCAGCTCCAGACCAGTTTTCACATTAATATCTCAGCTCAGTGTTTCTACTGCACTATTTGTGGAAGGCAGATTCTGGCCCCACACTCATGCGTGGGTTGCACGAAGACTCCTGGTTTCTCACAGGTAGTTTCCCCAGCTCTCTCCAGTCCTGGTGGCTCCCTTCTGAACCCCTGTGCTGGCGGACAGACATCTTCTAGTCCCTATTCAACAATGGATGACACTCTCTCAGCTTCCTGCTTTGAGACAACACTCTCTTTTCCCTGAATGGGTACCCCAGCTCCTAACATATATATCTGGTTCCATAGGCCAAATGGTTCGACTTCTGCTCATGCCTGTCCCCAAATTTTCCTTTCTTGCTTTGAAAGTGTTTATTTTTAAAAATGTAATCTACTGTCAAATTTGGAGGGAGATGTGAGCTTCCTATATCAGCTCAGTCTGCATCTTAACTAGAAGTCCTAGAATTCTACATTTCTAGGGGTCCAGAGCCCATGACACCTGGACCCTCTGATTCCATTTTTAATGATTCTATTATCCCAAGATTCTGGGTCTCTGGTCTTTCCTTTTGGACCCTGGCTCTCGGGCAGGTGAGGGTGAGTTGTAAGAGCCAAGATGGGTCCTCTATGCCTCCTTGTTCAGTAGCCCCTCCACTGTTTCCTCCCCACCCTAATCCCACAGTTTGGCCCTAAGACAATTGGTATCATAATCGGCCTTCCCTTAGGGGACCTCAAAAAACCAAAACTCTCCCGGCCCCCGTGTCAGATAGAACCTTGCACCACGAGTGGACACGCAGATACAGTGACAGGCGGGAGGAGAGCAGTTTCTAGGCTGAGGAGAGTCCTCTGTGCCTAGGAAATTGTGTAATGCCCTGTGTAAGAAGTGCATCCCCCCTCCCACTAACCCCAGCACCCCGCACCCCGCTTGTGGACTTCTCAGTCTGAATGTGAACAAATCCCCTCAGGGCCACACCCCTCGCGCTCAGCCGCCCCACCCTCAGCACGCCTTCCATTCACCTCCCGGCCATGTCCTAACTCTGCTCCTTTCGTCCTTCCCCGTCCTTCCCCACTGGCACCGCCCCTGTCAGACCACAGTCATCCTTCACTTGGACAACCACATGGTCCCCAACAGGTCCCCTCCCGGCTTCCATGCCCGTTTCTGCAGACCAGTCTCCACCCAGCAACTGGAAGATGCTTCTAAATGCACCAGTTTGATCATGTCACCCCCTCCCCCGCCTCTGCATAAACTCCTCAGCATCTCCCCGTTGCTCTTGGGCTCAATGAAGGTTTCTTAGTGTCCTCCACGGGCCGCTGCAGGGTGCCCTCGCACTCCCAGCCTCACCCCGCGCACCCTCTCCAGCCGCAGGGCCTTCTTCCGGGTCCCGCATTGCAGGGACTTTGCTCATGGCTTTCCCTCTGCATGCTGGGGCCTCTTCCCTCCCCACTTCTTGCTCATCTTTCAGTTCTCAGCTCAGGAAGCTTCCCTGACCCCTCCCACTGGACCAGATCCGCTGTCCTAGGCCTCTCCTGAGCGCCTGGCCTCTGTGACATTCACTGCCCTGTGTAATTTGATCTTATTTATTTTTGCGATTAGCAAGGTAGCAGAGTGGTTAAGACCCTCAACTTTGGAGACAGACCCTGAGTTCAAATCTTAATCTGTTTAAGCCTTGGTTTCCTTATCTGTAAAATGCAAAAAAAAAAAAATTGTATTTGCCTGTCTCATAATACTGTAGATAAGGAAATGAGTTCCATGTGTAAAGTGCTTAGAACTGAGCCAGCACAGAGTAAGTACTAGCCATTCAGTGCCAGCGATTCTTCTGATGGCCCCTGTGATTGATCAGTGGCTCCTCACCCACCATCAGCCTGAGAGCCCCAGGAGGGCGGGGACCTCATCTCTTCTGGTCACCATTGGGGCCTTGAAGGGGCGCACTCAGTAGGTGTCCATAGATGCTGCCTGCAAACAGCAAGTGGGCGTCTGAGTGAAGGGCCGTGTCCCCACAGGCGTCCATCATGACGGGCACCGTGCAGAGCACGGCCCTCGGGGGCAGGCCTGGCCGCCGGCCCTGGCGGAGGGGCCGGGAGGCGCGAGCTCCCCCCGAAGACATGCAGGAGCTGCTGCTGCCGACACCCTTGGAGATGCACAAGGTGGGTGCTGGGCGCAGGAGGCCTGGATGTGTGTCCTGGTGCCGTGAGGACTCACGGTGGGCTCCAGATGGGCCACCCCTCTCCGGCTTTGTTCTCCTCCACCATAAAATAGGGGTTTTGTACTAGGTTGAATTTTCAAGACTCCTGTCATTTGGGTGACACATAAACATGCCTGTGATATATGCTGGGCTATTCTTAACATTTTTCTTTAAGTAGACTCACTTTTTTCCCCACTTAAGTTATTGTGCGTGTGTGTGTATATATAATATATATATGAAATATAAAGACTTATGTATATTATATGTATGTGTATATATGAGCACCTTAAATGAGAAACCAGCATTTTTGCCCTCTATAGATTACTATATAGAAAAATAAAACACAGAGGAGAAAAAAAATCCTCTTGCCCAAGAGCCCTCAGAAGCCTCTGAGTCTGAAGCCAGCCCCTTGGTAAAGTGGGAGATGAGCAGTGGAAACACATGGGTACCCCGCGGAGACTCTCCTGGATGGAAGCCAGAGGACCGGACCAGACCTGAAAAGGACTCCCTTCCCGAGGGCCTCCGCGGTGGCTGAGCACTGTGGACTGGAGGGTCTGCTGGCTGGAGAAGGCTCGGGCAGGACAGGGGAGCGCAGCTGGGCCAGGGGCTAGGGCCGGGCCCAGAGGCATCGAATGCCAGACCAAGGGATTCCAGCTACTGTGGGAGGCTGAAGGCAAAGCTCAGAGCTCCAGGGACCGCTTCCTCCCTCTGTTTGCAGGTGACCCTGCACAAGGACCCCATGCGGAATGACTTTGGTTTTAGCGTCTCAGATGGCCTCCTGGAGAAGGGTGTCTATGTCCACACTGTGCGCCCTGATGGACCAGCCCAACGTGGGGGCCTCCAACCCTTCGACAGGGTCCTCCAGGTAATGCTGGGTGGGGGCACCACGGATGGAGCGGCCTTTCCTAGCCACAGGGTGGGGACACAGCCCTCACTTGTACCCTGGCTGAGTGGCCTTGCGCAGGTCACCTCCCCTCTCTGAGCCCCAGCTTCCTCAACTGTGAAAATGACAACACTAGTTGTATCTGTCAGGTTAGGCTGAGTTATGTTGTGTAACAAACAGCTTGGAATCTCAGTGGCTTAACACACGTAAACAGTCATTTATCACGTACGAGACATGTCCAGAGTGGGCCCATGTGGGCTTCCCTCTGCTTGGGCCGATGGAGGCTCCACCCTCTTGTAATCGCCTCCAACTCCACGGCAGAGGAAACCAGACTGGAAGATCGCAAGTGGGTTTCCTTTCTGCCTTCACCAAGAAGCGACACCTGTCACTCCCCTTCACAGCCTATTGGTCAGAACTGGTCAAAGCAAGGGAGCCTGGGAAATGTGGGTGAGCAGCTGGAAAGCTGTGGGCATCCCTGGCCAGCTGCCCTGGGGCCGCCCTTCCCACGCCCCAGCTACTTTTGTTCCCTCCCTGTGATTTCCACCATACTTGTGCTGACTTTACTGAATATATGTTTCCTCCCAATTGATGGAGTTTTTTCAACTTAAATTTATTTTAAAAAAAAGGAAAATTTCATCTCAATTAGGAACGAAAACCCCGCACCCCTTGCTTGAAATAGAAGGTCGATGTAAAATACAAAAAAGATAGAAACAAGACAGTGTCACAAACTGTAGGCAGGAGGCTAAGTGTGCGTGTGCCTTTTATGTTAATAAGGGGGAGGAGCCGGTGGTGGAGGGGTGGAGGGTGTCCTGGCCCTTCCCAAGGACTTCCTCTTGATAAACTCTCACCGGGATTGAAAGGGTTAAAGGAAGAATGGCTTCCTCCGCATGAGGGTTCTAGGTTTTCCCTGGGTCTGGGCTGGAGCAGGGCCCTCACTTTAGGAGACCCTGTGATTCCCACCCTCTTCAGCCCAGGCCCAGCTGACACCAGTCTGTCCCCTTGGCTGTGCACTGTGCAGGTCAACCACGTTCGCACGCGGGACTTCGACTGTCGCCTGGCGGTGCCGCTCCTGGCCGAGGCGGGGGAGGTCCTGGAGCTGGTCATCAGCCGCAGCCCGCTGGCACAGAGCAGCCGGGCCCCACAAGCGCCAGGTCCCAGCAGCCCCCGGATGCTCTGAAGTCAGCGCGTGGTCCAGACGCCCAAAAGGCCACCCAGGCAGATCTGGCTCCCAGACCTGTAGCTGGGCTGGAGAAGTGCCACCCACTTGTCCGTCTGTGGGTCTGGCAGGCTCTGAGCTGCGGACGGGACTTCGTCTCTGTTCTCTGGTTCTGTGGTGACTGGGGCGGGGGCCAGGAAGTCAGGTCCTGCCCCAGTTGGAGTAACATCTAGGTCTCTCTCCATGTTAGGTCTCCGAGATGCCCAGAGGTGCCCGGCCTGACAGAGGTCAGGATGGGCTGCTCAACCAGGAGAAGAGGGGCCTGGGTAGGGACCCAGGTCCCTACAGGGTATCCGAAGAAGGGGGTCTGGGGTGGAGAAAGCCAAGCTCAGTGGGTGTGCTTTCTCCCAGCACAGCTATCGATCCAGAATGAGCTGCCAGGGAGGGGTGAGCTCCCTGTCAAGGGATGTAAGCAAGTGGGAGGTGTGTACTCCAGTGCAGTCATGGACTGAGGTGGAAGGCATCCCGGTGATGCTTCCATACTGGTGCAGCTGGCTAGTTTCCTGATGGGAGCGTTTAGGGTGAGGCTGGGGGTCACTTCATCCAGAGAGCCGAATGCCAGGAGGGACGCTGCTCAGGGTAGGAGCCCACCTCCTTCCCTTCGCCAGAGTTCTCGTGTCTGGGCCTTGCTGGTTCTGAGATTCTCGGATCCCGAGCGTCCCCAGTTAGGAGATGGTGAGCGTGGGCGTCTCCCCATCCCTCCCGCATAGCGCTGGCCTTTGGTTATGACAGTCAGCCATTCTTTCTTTCGCGTCTCTGGTCTGGGACTGCAGGTCTGGCCCAGCAGGGAGCTGTGTCAGGCTCCGGGCTCAGCCCTCCTGCTGTTTTTGTAGGACGCGTGGCCGCTGGCCCATCTGCACAGGCCCCTCTCGGCCCAGGCCCCTCAGTGGGGAGGGAGTCATTTGGGACAAAAGACCCGAGAGGTTTCATTCACCTGCCATTTCAGTGAAGATGGGAAACCATGGAAATAGGATCTGCAAGCTGACACAGCTCTTGCCTGGCGTCTAGATCAGTGGAGGAGGAGAGAGAGGGACAGAGAAGCCCAGAGAAGGGGGAGGGGGAGAGAGAGAGAGAGAGAGAGGGAGAGAGGGAGACAGCCTAGAGAGATGGGCCGTTCTCTCTCACGCCCAATGGTGACAGTGTCCAAAGTGGTGATTCGAAGAAGTTTATTCCCACTTGAAATCTGGAAGCACCAGCGTTCCTTAAAATTGTTGTCTTCATTTCCTGCGGACCAGAAACCCTTCTAATTTTGAGACGGGCACAGGGCCTCCCCGTGGTGGTCTGGGCTGTGGCCCCTGCGATGGACGTGGGCAGGTGGGATTCACCCAGGGCTGGGGGCTTACATTGGCCCGCCCGGCTCTTAATGGGGTCTCAGGAAACAGGGCGCCCACTCCCATTTGCATCCTTCTCCACCCTTGCGGCCCCTGGGGGCCCAGAAAACACTCTTCCATTCGAGGGACTGGACAGGGAGTCAGCGGCCTGTTCTTTTTGCCCTGGGTCACTGCTCCGTCGCTGGGTGACCCTCCGAGTCTGACCCCCTCCGGACAATCAAGGGCTGGACAGTCTCTGAGCAGCTACTGGCCTCCCCATTGCGGCCAGAACCATCTCCTGCTGAGGCCCGCACGGCAGCCTGCCCACACGCTCCCTGAGGGCCTGCCGTCCCCCGGCTGCCCCCGTCCACTTCCCCATGCCCCGCCCCTCTGTCCCCGCCCTGGAGAGCCCTTGTGCGTGCCATGGCTGGACTGCCCAGCGCCTCTGCTGTCTTGAGTCCTGTGTAAACCTCCGCCCAGGGTGAAAGGGCACTGCCCCCCATCACAGGGGCACCAAGCAAAAGCCAAGAGCCCTTGGCTCGCGGGGTTAGGGGGCAGGTGGCACAGCAGAGACACAGCCACTGGTGGCCTCAGCTGTGTGACTTTAGGCAAGTGGACCAAACTCTCTGGGCCCCTGTCACGTGACAGAACTGGACAGGACCCATTCCCAGGGCCTCTTGGTTTCGGGGGGCTGCGTTCGACTGCAGGTGGGGCAGATGCACCCTGACCCTGACCCCCTCCCTCCTTGGGCTGAGGCCTCGCCATTTCCCCGGACGTATGCAACCAGGCCTGGCGCTGGCCCCGGCCGCCGGCCTTCTCATATGCAATATTCCTCTGGCTTCGCATGGGGTCATTCTTCCCAGACCTGACCCCGTCCCCGGTGAGCGTCCTGCCTGCCTATGCATTTTGGGTACAGCCCTGCGCCACACCCCTTCCAGCCCCTGAAAGCTGTATTTTTCTCTGGCTGAGATTAGAGCATATTCCTTGTAAAGTATTTTTCTACGTGGGGTTTTCTCAGGGCTCTGGGGGAGCACAGCACGCAGGGCTGCCTGCGGGCCCACGTGTGAACCTGCGCCGCCGCCGGGACCGCGGCGATTGGGGGCGGGGGCGGCTGTCGGGATGAGGTGGGTTTTTTAAATAAAATTACTTAAGTGCACCTGGTGTAGAGAGTGTGCTTTTTTCTATTGTAGGCCGGCAGGAGTCGACTGCTTGCTTCTTAGGACATCTCGCCTGCTTTTGATTAATTCATTAATGAACTCATCCATTCAAAAAGTCTGCTATGTATTTGGCATCATTCTGGCCCCTGGGAAAACAACGTGAATGAGACAGATGAGATCTTGTCTGCATGGGGCTTATATCCTAGTGGAAGACAGACAGCAAGCAAGGGAGCAAATCATGAAGAATTCTTTCAGGAGGTCTGGCGTGCAATGAAGGAAACAGAGTAACAGGGGTAGAGTAACAGAGTAAGGGCTTTTCTGAAAAGGTGACATTTGTGCTGAGACTTGAAGGACGGGAGCCAGCCCTGTGGAGACCTGGAGGAAGAGCATCCCAGGAAGAGGGCACAGCAAGTGCAAAGGCCCTGAGGTGGGAATAAGCTTGGTGGGTTCAAGAAGAGAAAGGAGGTCCAGTAGGCAAGTGGGGCTGGAGACCAGCTTGGAGGTCGCAGGGCCCAACTGTGAGGGTGTGAGTGGGGACTACGGATTCTATTCTATATGCAGGGGGAAGCCACTGAGGCAGGTGAGTGGTGGCTCTGCTGTATGGAGCCCCTTTAGCCTGGGTAGGGGACAGCGATGCCCCTAATCTCTACAGGGCATCCAGGGCAGGATGGGTCCAGGGCAGGGCTGGCCCCGCTGGGGAAGCACAGCTCTGTGGGCAGAGGGAGCGCTTCTTCCCATCAGCTATGCAGGAGGGAGCGAGCACCCTGTCTCAAGAGGAGTGCAAGCAGGGCCTGGACCACACGGGGCATTTCTGTGGCTGGGCCAGGGAGGCCAGGGGCCAGAGTTGTGCAGAGGGCACTCGTTCGTCCTTGTGCTGGGAGGGGGATAGGCTCGGGGGCACTTCTGAAACGAGGGAGCTGTGCGCCAAGCTGGCACCGCTGAGAGGGGCAGCGTCGGTCCCGCGGCTTGGCTGCACGCCAGGCACTGCTGCGTGCTTCGAGAGAACTCCCTGTGCTGCATGCCAGGCACTGCTGCATGCTTCGAGAGAACTCCCTGCATCCTCCCCACAGCCTTTGGAGGTGCGTGTGTTATCATCAACATTACAGATGAGGAAACGGGCACAGAGAAGTCAAGTAACTGGCCAAGGTCACACAGGTAGTAAGGGAGGAAGCCAGGGTTTGAACACAAGCCACGTGGCCAAGACACTTGGGGGTGGGGAGAGTCGGGCAGAGGCCGTCAGAAAGGCAGCCAGCCAGAAAAAGAGGGGGAGATTTTATTCTAACATTGTCTATAAATAATGAGTCGCTGAGAAAGATTTTTTTTTGGTCTGGGAAGTTGGGGAAGGACCCAGCAGGCTCCCCTGACCTCGCCTGCTCACAAAGGGTGGTGGGGGCCCGTGGGCAGGACAGCTGCCCAAAACACTGGCCTGCTCTGTGACCCCAGTGAGGCCAATCCCCTCTCCTAGCCTCAGTTTCCCCCACTGTAACAGTGGGTTGGGCTCACATTTCCCCAGGCTGAGGATGTCTGTGTCAACCACTGGCCTCCTGGGGTCCTGTGTCTCCTCTTTCTGACGTCCCAGGGGCCGTGGCATCATCCCTGTTTGCGTCCCTCCAGGGCTGGCCACTCACCCTGTCTCCGCGCCGCCTGCCCCACTCCTGGACTTTGCGATCCGAGAGGCTCCGTTCGGGAGTCAGTAAGTGACTACACCTGGTACTTTATGAGTATCCCCTCTAATCATCCTGCAGCCTTGCAGGGGGCGGTAGTGTATTCCAGCTGGGGAAACTGAAGCTCAGGAAGCTGGTGGGAGATCTCCCAGTCACACAGGGCTGCACACCCAGAAGGTGGACTTCAATCAGCAGGATCAGTAGAAGCAGCCAGAGCAGACTCAGGAGTCTGAGGACCAGGGTGCGAGGCCCGGCTCTTTTCTGGACTTGCTGTGTGCTCTTGAGCAAACCACGGCCCCCTCTGAGCCTCTGCCTCAGTGTCTCCAACCTGGGTAATAATAGTCACCATTGAGGAGCATCCTTAGGTGGGACTGAAAGCTCTTTGTAAAATGTACAACGCTTGCCAAACGTGAGGAAAAACAGCCTCATCAGAACGGAACGCAGGGGCCGGCCCGTGGCCGAGTGGTTAAGTTCACGCGCTCGGCCTTGGAGCCTGGGGTTTTGCCAGTTTGGATCCTGGACGCGGACATGGCACCGCTCATCAGGCCACGCTGAGGCGGCGTCCCACATGCCACAGCTAGAAGGACCCACAACTAAAAATATACAACTATGTACCGGGGGGGCTTTTGGGAGAAAAAGGAAAAATAGAATCTTTAAAAAAAAACAAAACAGAATGCACACGTGTTGGATTTTACAAAGGAAATGTTTATTTTCATGTTATAAGGTGATTACAAACTCCTCTAAAAAAAAGCAAAGATGAATTTAAAATATCGATATACATATTTATCTAATGAGCAAAGAGAAAAACCCTGCAAATACAGGGATTCATATCATAAAACATTTATACACAAAGCTTGTCTACCGCAAGACTGAATCACACGCCCAGGATCTCATTCAAATACAAATGTTCCTCCTCAGAAGAGTCTCTGGTTGGTTGATTTGGTTTTCTTTTTTTTTTTTTTTTACAAAAGTTTAAAATATTTTAAAAATATTTTGAAGTTTTAATAAAAAGTCCTGGTGTGCCAGACATATTTCTGGAAGGAGGCAAGACCCACGTTCTCAGCTTTGTTTTGTGCTAAACACAGAGTCACAGTAGCTGGGGACTGGAAAATGAACTGGGTAAAAAAAATGGAGCCAACGTCTCGATTTGAAGCCAGATATACCCCAAGACGCCCCATCCCTCAAGGACCAGGCAGACAGGTCAGCAGCGACACCTCCCAGGGGACAAGGAGAGGCAGCTTCCCATAAAACAAGGGGCGTCTGAGGGCCGGTGCTGGAGAGGGGGCGAAGGCTGCTCCCGGGCCCGGGGCCCGCACCCACGCCAAGTTCTGGGATCGGGGTTTTGTGTGCTGTGCGGTCTTGTGCTTGTTGAATTTCTGCACAGCGGTATTTAAAACATCCGTGCGGATGGCCTGGGGCCGCCTGGCCTGGGTCTGAGGGCTGGACGAACCTCTAGCTGCCTGGAGCGGTTTCTCTTGGGTCCTTTCCTGGCTTACGTCTGAGGCTTGGGGGGAAGGGAGGCGCCTCTGCCCTCAGCGCCGGCTGCCCAGAGCACTTCCCGTGATGCTGCCTGGGCCCTGACCACTGTGCGTGGCACCTGGGTGACACAGGACGCCCTGTGCTAGGCCGGGGTGCAGTGGGGGGACAGGTCTGCTCTCGTCTTGTGCTTCACCACCATCTCTGGGGGTGTGCTGGGGATCTGGGGCGAGAACAGGGGACCAGAGGTACAGAGAGGGAGCTGTGTAGACCCCAGAACTCATCCAACGCCACCTCCTGCTCCTGGGAATTTCCCACATAGCCTCTGGCTAATCCTGCCTAAGGCGTTCTGCCTCTTGCACACCAGCCAGCTTCTCTGGGCCTCAGTTTCCTCCTGTGCAGTAGGGCTCTCAATGCCCAGATCACAGAGGGCTGCTGGGTGCAGGGCCACGGTGAATGGGCGCTGCCCCTCCGACCGAAGGCCAGCTACCTGCCCCACGGAACCACAGCCTGGGGTCCAGCTGGCCCCTGAGGATGGTCCGAGGTGGGTGCTGCTCACCTTGTCCCTGACTGCAGGGGATGGAACGTTTCCTGTTTCATCAAGGCTTGCCTTCGGTCTTCAGGGAGAGACCTAGGGAGCTGCACTCGCCACTCGCCACACAGGCCTCAGAGCCCCTGCAGCTGGAAGTGACCCGAGAGGGGCTGGTTCCGTTCCCAGCTCGCTGTGCCAAAGTCTCTTCCCTGCTCCAGGCCTCAGTTTCCCCATTTTACAATGAGGGCGTTGGCTGGGGGGCCCTGGAGGCCTGTCCACTGCAGGGATTAACTCGGTCCACGCCCAGCTCAGCGAAGCATCTCCCTGGGGGAGATTTATCCCGGGGCCCTTAGCCATTTCCTCATCCTAAAAAATTCTCCAAACATCTCCCTCACACCCCTTCCAGATCCGGCTGACTGGGCTGTGTGTCGGCCTCCGGATTTCTGACCCATCCCAGGCGGGGAGCGGGCGGAGGACGGCCCCAGAGACAGGAGAACCAGAGTCGGGAGCTCTGCGTGCGGACACGGAGAAGCCGCGCGGCCTCGCACACTGTGCTCGCAGGGCCGAGTTCTGCGGACACAGAGCTGGGGGACTCGACCAGAGGCCGCCGGGGAGACAGGTGCCCCAGGAGCTTGCCGAGGAATGGGCTTGGGTGAAGTGGCTGACCTTCCTTCCAGGCGAGGCCTGGGGAGCTGGTCTGCATGTGTCTTTGGTCTAGAATTGGTCTGGGACTCTCATAAGAGGAGGCCTTCCCCGGGCCATTTCCAGAATGTTGCCATTTGCCCACCAACCCGCAATACTGTAGCCTCTCACCAGGGACCAAGCCCCAGGAGGGGAGATGGTGGAGCCTGAAACGACCACAGATGCCCAGGCAGCCACAGACGCCCCTCGCCTCCACAGGCCACCTGTCCCCAGCCCCTGAGAGCGGTTAGTTCACTGAGGTTCCGTAAGACAAAGGAAAACAGGCCACATTGCTACTCAGGAAAAACCCAATAAAATCAAATCAGACACAGCAGCACCACAGATACACGGGGACAGGACACATCAGGACTGAATCGTTTGGACCAGGGCTGGGTGCCGTTCGGCAGAGGATGTGCCTTGGAAACAGTGAAATGTGAATGCTTGCCAAAGCAAGAGGTTCAGAATTGCCTCTGTCCCTTGAGAGGGGGACATTAAAGGCTCCTCCCCCTCCCGAATTTGGGGAGGGGGTCCCAGGATCCAGAGAGCCCCCGCTCTGAAAACCTGAGCGGGGCTTCACTCCACACACCCCGCGAGGCGGGCAGTGCCGTTTGTGTGTGACAATGTTTCGGTGTAGTTGAGACTCTGAATTTGGAAGTGACTGTCTAAATGACACAGTTGGAGTCCCAATGGAGCTGGGGTCGGGGCGTGTCCGTACTGGGGCTTTTAAAGGGGGGCACCTTCTCTCCTGGTTCAGAGGAACGCTGCTGTACGTGAGGCTCTTGGTCAAGCCAGGTCTGGGCTGCCAGCCCCCTGAAAACCCCAACCTTCTAGAAAATGCCCCCTCGCCTCCTCTTGCAGGCTCCCACGTAGTGCACAGCTGACACCAGCTCTGCAGGGCTGTGAAAGGCAGAGCTCTCTTCTCTCCCAGGGCCCCACCAAGGGCTGCGCTTGTGCCTGAACTGCGAGGAGAGCGACGGGAGCGCGTCAGCCGAATCCAGAGCCGCTCCTGGCACTCCCTGCTGGGCGCTAGGGTGGCCCTGGGCCGGGATCTTCAACAAGAGCTTGTCAGGAGTTTCCCCGCCTCTGGGAGATGAGGACAGAGCTGAGTGGAGAGATGAGGAAAGAAAAGGCGCCTCCCGACCCGGGCCCTCCGTGCGCCTGGCCTGCATCCTCCAGTCCACTCGCTCCCCTCCTGTCCCTCACAAATACGCCATGGTTCCTTCCGACAGGCAGCCTCCAGAGACGTCAGCTGGGGAATGGCCTGAACCTGCCAGGACCCCACTAAGATGCAACAGACCATCTGCGCGAGGCTCGGAGCCCTGGGACCGCCAGCTCCTGCCGGACGGCTCAGGTCTCCATGGGGGCCGCCCAGGAAGGACTGCGGCCGGGCGGTCAGCCTGAGGGCTCCCACCTCGGCCCCGCCCGCCCCAGCCTCTCGAGCTCTCGCTGCTCCTCTGCATGAGTGGCTCTGACGGTCCGTCCGACAGTCCTGCTGACTGTCCAACCTCCACCGTCCACCTCAAAACACAAGGTGGGGTTTTGCTCCTGGTGCAGCGGCTTCTGCGGCTCTTAGAATCAGGCTGTTGCTGTGGGGCCTCATCTGTCAGCTTTGAGTCGGTCCTTGTGTTTGAGGGGCTGGTTCATTAGCTTGGCGTCTCTCTTCTTGGCGAAGACAAGAGTGACGAGGCGTCTCCCCACGGCCTCCTTTCTCCAGCCCCTCCGGGTCTGGCCAGCTGGTGGGTGCTGTTTGCTTCCACTCGAACCACGTTTGGAAGGTGCTACGCACTTTTAAAATGGGCCCGTTGGCCCAGGAAAAGTCCGCCCTGCACTTTTTGGGGGCAGAACTTTCTGCCAGCTACACAAGCACCGAAGAATTGCTTTTAAAAATGAGATCTATTGCTGGCAGGATCAATTCAAGTGGTAAAAGTGTATGACAATCTCTAAGTGTATATACAGTTATATGTAAAAAAAAATACAAAGAAAAATTTACCAAGTTCCTATAAAATACATCTAATTCAGTATGAAGGCTCTGCCTCGCCCCCGACATCTGCCTGTGGGTTTTCTTTTTGTACAAAATATCCCCAAATCAAAACAAAATACACGTACGCATGACACCACACACACACACACACACACACATTTTCTGTGACAATTAGAAAAACTCCTAGTGCAATCTGAAGCTCTGTAAACCTCGTCCTACGGGCATCTAATGTTAGTAAACAGCAGGAAAGTGGCCCGACGCGGCCACGAGCTCACATCATGGTCTCCACCAGGATGTGCGAGGGTTTCATGAGAGCCCCGTTCACGGCCCTGCGGGAGTTGTAGGGCGTGGCCCCCTCGCGCTCCACGGCCCAGCGGTTGGGTTCCCTGGGGGTCAGCAGGTACTTGAGTCTCTGGAGAAGGAAGGGGACAGAAGCGGAGGAGAGTCAGGGGACCTGGTTTCCCTCCTGACCACAGCCATCCACCCACTCTGGGTCCTGCCAGTGTGCTGTTTGGCCTTTTGCAAACTACTACCTTCTCTGGACCTCCCGTTTCAACTCTTAAGCTCCCTCCAGGCCCTGAATCAGGGCAAGATTCCTGTGGTAGTTCCTTGGCCAAGCCCTGCTTCCACACCTCAGAGGCAGGGTGACTCAGACCTCAGGCTCTGACTTCTTTCTCCCTTGGAGCTGGAATATGCCTCCTTGTGAGTCCCATCCCCCAACTTCTCTGACTTGCAAAGCGGCCAAGTTTCTGCAATTTGTATGCCTGAGGTCATATAACTGTCTTGAGCCTCCCATGGCTCCCACCTTCCTCAGGGAGAAACTCCAAACCCCTTGGCCTCCCACAAGCTGCATTCCTGCCTCCCTGCAGACGGGTCTCCCCATCTCCCTGCTGGCATGCAGCTTTCCCTGCAAGGGCTGGGAGACCACTGCTTGTGTCGGAGCTGGGCCTCCCCCAGAGGGGCCAGAGGCGGCACCACCCGAGAATTCGCACAGGATCCCCGGGCAGGGCGAGTTTCGTCCTCCCCGCTGGCGGCCTGATAGTGGAGTCTGGGAGGGAAAGGCCCCCCTGGCCACCCAGCCAGCCAGAGCAGGACCGGGACTCCAACTCAGGGCTCTGGCCGCCCAGCCCACCTCCTGGCCAGAGACGTAAAGAGGAAGCAGTTGGAAACCACAAACTCTCCAGGCAGTGACGTTCAACGTAGGTATACAACAAGTGCTTAAAAGCTGCTATTAAAAGCTACAATATTTCATTTGAAAATCCAGATTTCCATCTGCCCCTAAAACACTGCAAGACCCAGCGACCCCAGACCCACATCCTCTCTTGGTGACAATGGGCCAGAGCTGATGAGCGCGGCCTGCTGTAGATTTCCATGGCCTTCTCCAGTTCACTCCCAGCCCTGCCCGGGGCTCCCCTCATCTGGGCTGCCCCTCTGGTCCCTGGAGGAGGAGACTGGAGGCCCAGGTAAAGGGCGAGGGGTGGGACACCAGCGGAGGGCAGGCTCTGCTCCCCTTGCATCGCTTTGCCTCTCGGTGCCTCTGGACAGCAGGTGTGCGCCCGGAAGGTGAGACAAGAGGCGTGCTCCCCCGGGCAACACCTGGGGCTCTGTGCATAAGGGGGGTGCAGACGCAGCTGGAATCCGCCCAGGACAGAGCTCGGGGTTGGCCGGTCGGGCGCAGAGAGAAGTTCGGGGCTGGGAGGACACCTCGGCACCCTGTGCAGGTGGGGGGTCAAGGGGCCCAGGGCACAGACGGATGGATGGGGCTCAATCGCCTGCAGAGGAGGCGGCTTTGGTTCTACGATATTTTTAAATTGAGTTTTGAAGGGACACGTTAGTGACCTGTTGGACGTGCTCCTCCTCGTGGCTGAAATATGTAATTGCTGTGGCACTGACCAACCAGAACAGACATCCAAGACCCAGTTAACCTTCAGTTTCTGGGTGGCAGGGGCATTCTGGAAATTCCCGGGGAGGGGCTGGGTTGGCATGGGGCATTTGGGGGCCACCTGGAGGGCTCAGGGCAGCAGCTATTACTCATCTGTCGCCAGGCCCAGTATTCCAGTATTTTAAGAAATGATAGGGCCGATCAGCCTTCTGCCTGAACACTGGGGTCCTTGCCTGTGTCCCCTGAGAAAACACAATGATCTAATGCTGCAGGAACCCCCCAAGGGCCGTCGCAGCTCAGACTGACCCTGGCATCATGTCGGCCTCCCTCACACACCCCTGCTTCTGTCCTCGGCTTGCTCCCTTTGTGCCCAGCCTCCTCTCTCCCCTACCAGCACCACCTCCAGGCCATTCCCCTGCCCAGCAGGAAACCGGCCCAACCCAGGGGGAGCCAGGGCCCCAGGACATCCTGGCTCCAGATTTTTAAGAATAACAATAAAACAGCCCAGAACAAAACAGTGCAGCCTTGGAGCCAGCCCAAGCTCAAGGTTAAGAGAGAAGCTAAGAAAAGCCTTTCTTGGAAAGAGCCTGGCATCTCCAGGATTGCTGGAGGAATTTCCAAGAGCTGAGCGGTGGGCAGGGGCCGGGGGTGGAGCCAGGCAGGCACAGAGGCCTGGAAGTCGCAGGCTTGGCCTTGTGCAGGGGTGTCATCTGAGGGTCGGGCGGCAGGTGTGGCCACAGATTGGGGAGGGGTCCCCAGCGTGGGCTGGGCTTATCTGAGACGTGGCTGGGGGTGGCGGAGGGCTTCTGGGTGGAGCTCAGGCTTCCTCCAGGCTCCTTGTCTCCTGTCTCACCACCTCAGAAACACAGACCCCACTGCTCCCAGGATAAAGCCCTGGCTCTTAGCTTGGCACCCAAAGCCACCGTCGCCTCTCCAGCCTCATCGCCCACCCCCCAGAACATGTCACTGCTGCCCAAGCGCTGTCATAGCTCCTGGCCTACGAATGCCTCATGCCCCACACCCTCCATCTCGCATCCTCTGCTTGGCAAATCCTTCCTTGTGCCCACAGCCCTGTCTGAACGTCCCCACAGAGCCTTCTCCCATGTGAACTGTTCTCTGTTCCTGTTTCCCATGATGCACTCTCCTGCCCACAATCTCACCCACTCCATGGGGCAGGTGAGGGGTCTTGGACTCAAGAGAGGGCAAGCAACGTACCCAAGGTCACACAGCAAACCAACATCCACCTGGCTTTTGGCTTCTTGCCCTCCCCGCATAGTCTAGCCTCAGGGTCCTGCATGCTCACCACAAGGAATGGCCCTTTCGTCTGGCAGAGGCGGATGACCACGACCAAGGGGACACACACCATGGAAGACAGGGCCAGGCTCCAGCCCAGCCCGATGGCCCAGGTAGGGTACATGTAGACTTTGTTGTAGGTCAGGGGTATGTACTTGACGAGAGAGAAGATAAAACATCCCTGTGGAGAGATGGGGGAAGTAAGGGGGGTCCTGGCATCTGGGCGGGGGGCTTCTGGGACTGAGGTGGGCCCCACCCAGTGGGCCCCTCCCACGGGGCCTCACACTTTCTCTTCTCTGCTGCATGAGGACCCTACCCCGTGCAAATCTGACCAAGTGGCTTCCCCACTCAACAGCCTTCTGTGGCTCCCCAGTGCCTTTGGGAAGCAGTCCAAACTCCGCAGCCTGGCCGGCAACGTCAGCCCTCCCCCACCCCTAGCTCTCCCTCCACGTCCACACTCCAGCTACCCCAAATTCCCTCCAGCTCCTCAGTCACTTGCCACAGGGCTTAGTACAGGCTGCTCCCTCTGACTGGACCTCTCTCCCCTCATCTTCTCCTCAGCCTGGTTCAGCTCTAACGGTCCTGCCTGACGCGCCAGGCCCCGCCCAGACTCAGTCAGGTGCCCATACTTCTCCCTCCCAGCAAGCCTGTGCTTCTAGTTGCTCTTTCAGCATCGGCTCCCCAACCAGAGTCAGCGAGGGCAGGAGCGGTGTCTGTCTTGTTTCCTGTTTCTTTAACACCTGGTGCAGTTCCAGGTGCAAACAGCAGGTGCACAATAAATGCTAGCTCTCCTCCACTGCCACCCACCCGACTCCACCCCGAGTCCCAGGCCTGGCCCCAGGACAAGGGGTGGACCTGTGCGTTGCCCTGCTTACTGTCCACAGCCAGGCCCTAAGCCCACGCACACAGCCAGTGGCCCTCGGCGTCCATGAACAGTGCGGCGGGGCGGGGTGAGCTCTGAGCCCCAAGCCCCGATGAAGCGCGCCTTTCCCCCGAGAAGAGCAGAGCAGCTGGCCGGAGGGCCCAGGACTCCTCCTGCTTCTGGTCAGAATGACGGCATCCCAGAAGCTAACCCAGGTTGTCCGGGACAACCCATAAGGTGAAAATGACTTAAATCTCCACTATGTGATAACTGGGTTTGGACAGGAAGACAAATCTATCTAGAGCAGAACTGACGAGGGAAGGGAGAGCTGCAGACGCCTTCCCCTGGGCACCGGCTGCACGCCTGGCCCTCCTGTTTCTGTACTGCCGTGTGGGGCTGCAGCGCAGACAGAGAGAGTGCCAGGAGGGGCTGCTCCGGGCTCCTCCAGCACTAGGAAGCTTTGCACCTGCCCATGTCACATGCATCTTCCCACTAGGCTGACTTCATCCCCCAGTCTTGGAATGCAGGCTACCTCTGATCTGTCCAACTCCTCAGGAGGGACAGAGGAAGAAACGGACGGTCACAGTGGTGAGAGCAGTTGCCCACAAACAAACGTTACGTGAGAATGAGAACGTGGGCTTTGAACCCAACTAAATTCATCTCCAACAATAAACTCGCCAATTGTTGTGGTCACTGGCTGCTGCAGCTGACTTAATTTTATGGGGAAACCGTGCCTCGGATGAAAAGGCCACAACCATATTAAATAATAACAGTCATACCCTGAGGCTGTTGGCTGCCACTCATCCCACCGCAGTCTCCTTGTTCTACAAAGGGGGACACTGGTTCCCCAAGAGCGAAGGGACTCACTTAAGGTCACAGAGTGAGTTAAGGGCAGTGTTGACTTATTCTGCTGTGGACCCCCTGTGTTTTTCAACCAGCCCTGGTACAGCTTCCTCTTTCAGAACACCTTGGCTTTGCACAGGCTGGTTCCTCTTCCAGGAATGCCCTTCCTGTTTTCTCTTCCTGACAGGCTCCTACTCATGCTTCAAAACTCATCTCAAAGTAAGCTTCTGGAGCAGCCTGCCCCTCCCTGAGGCAGAGCTGTCATTAAGCTTGTCAAGGACCAGCACTTAGCAGATGCTGAATGCAAAGTGGTTTAGCAGGTGAGCTGTCAAACCCCAGGGAATAAAGGTTCCTACCCACAGCCAGGCGGGACAGAACTCACAACACAGAGGACTGGAGTGACCACGGCCCAGCTGTACTTCATCCAGGGCCCAGGCCGATAGCCGATCATGTCCTCAATACCATCATAAAAGTTATCACTGCCTGCAAGAGACAGAGGCAGATGGTGACAAGGTGTCCAAGGCCAGCATCCACCCTGGGAATGACACAGCTGGGGCTCAGGGGCTATGAGGGCGTCCCTGGGACCTGATCCTGGTCTCTACATCCAGGTACCATACAGATCCAAGTGTGGCAGATGTTTATCTGAAATGATCTGAAATTCAGGTGTAACTGGGCCCCTGGTATTTTAATGTCAAACTCAGGCAGATCTTAATCCTGGCGTGGCCGATCCAAGGCATCAGGGAGGTCAAAATGGACCATTCCCGGACCGCTGAGCAGTCAGTCATAGACAGGCCCCGCGCAGTCAAGTTCTCTTTGTCACAACATACAGTCACACCTGCACCCTCGCACAGGGAGAATCTGGGGGGCTGCAATGGTGTTGTGTCGGGAAGGGGCAGCCTTGAGAGGAAAAGTCCAGGCAGAGAAGGCCCCTGTGTTTGATGGAGAATGAGTGGCCACTATAAGTCTGTGTGTCTGAAGCTTCTAAACAGAGAGGCCCAAAGGAGAAACTTGAGAAAGGGGATGCAAAACTCTGTACTCACCATATATCCAGGCAATAACAAAACATTCAAAGAATGCAACCCATAAAAGGCATACACCACTAGCTGCATAGTAGTCAAAGAGTTGAAACACATACATGCCACCCTGTGAAGAAAAGACCAGAGAAGGGTGATTTGTTATTTGATATCTAATTCTCTTAATATATAAAGAGCTGTGGCATATCAATAAGCAATATAAAACCCAAGAGAAAAATGGGCAGAGGCCAAGAGGACCAGATACATGGGTAAAAAGATGCTCAACTTCAAGTTCAATAAATTTAATTAAAAACACACACACAGAGAAAAATGAAAGCACAATAACATGTCTTCCTTAGCGAAAAAGGATGGGTTCACTGAAGTGGGCTTCCAAAGGAGGTGCTCAAAGCCACCGCAGCCGACACTGAAGACATGAGGGGTGTCAGCCACTTGGCGTGTGCACCTGTGGTCTGCCTTTGGGGGTGGGGCTCTTACAGATGCTTCAGGAAAAACATTCATTTTTCTTCTGGTAAGGAAAAGTAGTGATGTGAAACCCTTCATTGAGGTTGGGGGTAAATGTGACTCTGCTGGGGAACATGGGGACGCGGGGGGTGCAGGAGGGAGCACCCCCAGGCCATGCTGGGCTCACCTGCTCACATCATTTAGTAACAGAATCTTTTTCTTTCCTGGCCTGCCTCTTGCTGGACGTGTGGACCCACTGCTGCCCGAGACACTCCCGCTCCCTTCCTCCCTTTGCTTCTTTCTCCCACTTCAAATGATCCTCCTCGTGGGCCCTGCCCAAGCTTCGCACAGCGGACACTCCCTGTCAGCCAGACCAGGCCTGGCACCGCCTGCAGTATCACCAGGAGGTCAGCGCTGACCCTCCCGGACGTCTCCACCCCCTCCAGGCCAGGAGGGCCACTGCACATAGTCGTGGGTGACCGGGGCCATTGTTAACATGGATTCCACCAGAAGCACCCCTTCCCCAGCCTCCTCAGACCAGGAAGGACAGGGCGCAGTGAGTGGCCACAGTTCTGCCATGGTAACAGGAAAAAGGGGCGGGGGAGTTCGAGTCAACTGCTGGCCCCCGCCCCGCCCTGCCCCCCCCCCCCCCCCACTGTGGCCACTCACTGCGCCCTGTCCTTCCTGGTCTGAGGAGGCTGGGGAAGGGGTGCTTCTGG